GTTGAGTGCGTTGCGAATGGCTTTAGTGGGCGGTTTTATTATTATTATTTCATTTTTTTTAAGAGTGCATATAGTTGTAATGACATCAATTTGCTGAGTTGTTGGTCAAGCCTAAACAATTTGTGTGGCATTTTGTCGGCTTTGTTGCCTTGAAGCACGGCCCACAACTTAAGGGGGAAAAGTTGCCACATTTAAATTTCTGATGGCATTGAATGTAGCTGCTGCAATTGTGGCCTGGGCAAATCTAATATAACAATGGCTTTAGATATGCCATATGCGATATGCTACGCTTTGTATTTATGCTTATTTACATTGTGTAATTTTAATATTTCTTATAAATCACGTTGCAAGCCAAAAGAAATCTGCCTCTAACAAAGGCTGCTTTTAATATAAAACTAAAGTCAATATAAAAGTGAAGCTTGCCAGGCGAAACTTACGTTTGTTTCACCAAAAAACTTAAAAACTTAAGTTAACAGAGATGTTTCAACAGTTTTGTGTTAACAGCACTTTAACATTTAATAGGAGATAGCCTGTGCCTAGATCTGAATAGATCTAGATCTATAGAAATATACATATGTATGTGTAAATATGGACTTACCCAGCAATACTCACGATTATTTGATTGTCATCCATTAGAACGGGGGAGACAAGCTTTAATATATATTTAGATCACTGAAAAGAAGTAGAACAAAACGGATTAGAATAAAAGCAGGAGCAAGAATAATAAAAAAGGAGAACGGAAGAAAGGGAAGTGAAGATAAGAAAGACAAAAGGATAAGTGCATGCATATAAATACACATGCATACATTCAAACATTTATACGTTCCTTTAAGGTTGGACCACCTCACTCGTAATGAAAGCACGAAAATCTGCTAGGCTTCCTCGAATCTATGAGAATCGCATAGTAGGGCTTTATTTTCAAATACGTCCTTTTTAAAACTGAAGTGCAGCTGGAGACAATGTTGATCTGCGTTTGTTATATGTTAACATAATGCATATATGCCTTCACATAGTGAAGGCTTGAAAACTTGCAAAGCTTACTTGAAATCATGAGAATCGCATAGTAGGGCATTTTATAAAAATCTGTTTACTTTAATTTTACACCACAGTGCAGAGTTAAATTGGTCTGAGCTTGATATAAGAGAACATCCATGCTTATATAGAAAACACATACATACGCATATACATACATACATACGTACATAGATACATGCACTCACACATACATACACCCACACATCCTATCACTTTAAAGATATAGTTATCTATGCATGTACATGTCTTGCTGTGTCGACTTCATTTCATTTAAATTAAAATAATACCACAACCTTTTTCCCCCGCCCAACTTCCTGTTTGGCCTGAATCTGTAGCTGTTTCTGGCCCAGCAGCAGCAGCGACAACTTTATTGTGCACACATCTGTTTAATCAGCAGCAACATTTAACTTCATCATGACGATCAGCAACAACAACAACAGCAACAACAACAAGCAACAGCATCATTCCATTTCCAACCATTCCGCTGGCAATGTTTTTTTTTTATTTTGACCCTTTTTCTCTCGTTTCAGCTACTTGACGTTTTGAACACCCCCGCTGTCTTTCTCTCGTTCACCCTCTCTTGCTGTCTCTTTTAGCCATTAATTCTAGTGCAAAACAATTTAAATAACAAGTTGGTAATGGAGCCGCATCTGGCCTGGGAATCTTCACTGTGCCACATGTGGCAACCCTTTGCCGCACTTGTTGCCGTTGTTGTTGTTGTTGGCCAGGCAACAAAAATTACTGGAGCATGGAATTGTTTGTTGTTGTTGATTGTTGTTGTTGGTTGTTGGCGCTGATTTAAAATGCAGATTTCTTTTGCCAACTCAAAGCTGGCAGCTTTGCTGAGGTTTCATTGCATTGCGCCGTATAAAATAGCACATTGATGAGCTTCCAACTGGAGCTGCAACTGCAACTGCAACTGACACTTGCCACCAAGTGCAGCTCCCTGTTCTCCTCGCTGTTGTTGTTGTTGTTGTTGCTGCTGCAGCAATTGACATTTGTTGGCTGGCAGCGTCAAATTTGCATGCCAAAAGCCATTTGCAACGAGGTCGTCGCCTGTTTATGCGAATTGTAACGCGCATTTTAATTAGATTTTGATAGAATGCAAGGGGAAGAGACTGGGAGAGGGGTGTTGGATGGTTCGGGGATTAGAACTGCGATGCTGCTAGCTCGGCTCTATGCAGATTGGCTTACAGCTGCCCGCAAATGTGAGCGTGTTTCTAATAATATAGCCCAATGCAAAACTTTGGGAAATGGATTTTTAAAGCGTCACACGAGCTGCATAAATTTAAGACCTGGCTATAAAGGGCTCAAATGCATTATATAATTGCGATAATTAGCATAAAAAGCAACGGTATTACATACATTTTATGCAAATTTATATAAACATAATATATCATATGCATTATCTGGCATTACATAAAGTAAAAAATAGTTAAAGACTTGATTGGTTTATTCAAAAGCGCAGAAATACCTGTTTTGTTTATTCCAACTGGCAGAAGCGACGAAAATATTAAAGAGGTGACTTTTTTAACAATTTAATTTAACTTGTTACTATGAAAAAGTAATATATTAGAAGTAGTTTTTTTACATTTTCGGTTGATCCTCATTGAAGCTTAAGAAAAGTCTTGAACACAGTTTTAATAAATTTTAAAAAATTCAAAACTATACCAAAAGTGACTAAGTGAAGCTATGTAAGAAAAAACGGTTTAAAACGTGATTAATGTTTAGAAACTTTAGAATTCCATTAAAGTACATGACCTAACACACTTATCTAAAGATTTTTGTCAGTTTCAATAATGTCATGTCTCTATATAATTAGAAAATAAAATAAATGTAAAATATTAAGAAGTTAAAATAATATTTAAAGAGAATTGAATAACTTAAGGAAAACTGACCAAGTAATATTTTTTGGTTATCATGATTTAATATATTCTAAACCTTAGTAACGGGAAAGAACTATTATTTTTTTTCTTTTCAGTCTGTTTCGAAACCTTTGTTAAATAAATTAGGTTAACATTGAATTATAATTCAGTTGGCCGCGATTTGATTTATCACATTCTCATAAATTATTTCTCATATGTAAATTACTAAAGCGTTTGTTCACAAAAATCTATTTTCCCAAATGAAGCGCATTTTGTAATTTTGAAAATTTTCCCAGTCTTTTGCTTTTATGTGCCGCCTGTCTCACTTCTAGTTTAATTAGTGAGTGCACTTTTATGGTAATTTTACCACAATAAGTTCAAAAGATTATTTATAATGAAAAAAATACATGCATTAATTAATAAGCGTTCAACTGGCCGCAAATTGAGTTGGCGGTGGGCGTGGCCAGTTGACCACAAGGCCAACCGCAAACGGCAAATTTCGCTGTGGCCGCGCGGTAATTGAGATTGTGATTGGAAATTAAAGTGTTTACTTTCAATCAAGCTGATTTTTAAAGCAAATGAGCTGAAACGATGCGACTAGCTATAGATGTACATATATAAACTATATTAAATGGGCATTTGTATAACACTTTGTTATAAGGCTTCTTTGCATATTTGCTTAACAAACGTAAATAAAAGCCTTTGAAGTGCATTTTCTCATCTCTTTATATATAACTGCCTACGTTGATTTCATCTTTGGGTTTTTTATACCCTGAACCCATTGAAAAGCATCTCCGACCTCATAAAGTGTATATATTCTGGAGCATCAACAGCCGAGTCGATCTAGCCAAGTCCGTCTGTCTGTCCGTCCGTCCGTCTGTCCGCTCGTCCGTCTGTCCGCTCGTCCGTCTGTCCGTATGTATGAACGCAAGGATCTCAGAACCTATAAGAGCTAGAGAAATTTTAGCTGTAGGTCCTCCTAGTCCCCGCGCAGATCGTGTTTGTTTCCGATATTCGATAACTTGCCCCGTTTTCGAGTAATCGATCAAAATCGATATCGTAATCCTGTTTTTTGAGCAATTTCGGCAAATAATATGAGCTAGAGTTACCAAACTTGACATGTAGCTTCTAGAATAGTATATATATATCAGGAATCTTTCATTTTATACCTATCGCCTGTTGGAAGAAAAGGGTTCGGGGTATCCTCTAATCGGGAGCTACCGCCTAGAACCTCTTACTTGTTAGTCGATGGAAAAGTATTATTTAAAATGTTTAGCACGCAACATGCCACGCGCAACGCCGGGTAATACCCGCTAAGTTCGTATACAGCTACGATAAATTCTATTTTCAGCTCTTTACAGTCCATTTAAGAGTCAAACTTAACTCGTCTGTGATAATATTTGAGTTTGTTTTCTTTTTGTATTGTGGGTCAAAGTCTTTGAAAAAATGACGTTATAAAAGAAAAAGTAAACCATGAACATAAAAAAATATAAAATGTATCAAAAAAAATGTTGTTATATGAAAAACAAAAACATGGCCCATAACTGACAAACGGGTTCTGGCAACAACAACAACAACAACAACGACTAAAATAAAAAGCCTCGCTTGACTAAATGTTAAACATTTTAAGTATACCAGAAATTTATTGCCTACACATTTTTCTGTTTTTTTTTTTTTTAATTTAGTGTGAAAAAAAAGCTGTGGAAATATATAAAAATTAATAATGAAAATAATAAAAAAAAAATGAAAGAAAATTGTGCAGAAAAAACATTGTGAAACAATTTCTCTAATTAATTGTACAAACGGGCGGATTTTGGTTTGGTGTTTGCTTTATTTATCTAGCTATTTTTTTTTTTTATTGTATATTTTCCGCTTTTGGTTATGCGCAAAAGCGGAATGCGCAACGCAACTGGCAGCCGCTAGTGGCGCCGCCAAATGTGGCTGGCTGCAAAGGCGTGTGTTGCCTGCCACCCAGAGACTGGTCAAATTGCCAATCGGCGCGACAACATTTTTGAGATGGCAAAACTTTAGCTAATTTAACGCTCATTTTTACTATTCGCCGCTTTTTTTCCATTTTTAATCTGTTGACAACATTTGCAGGATGCCAGTCATGTTGCCGCACCCAACAACAACAGCTGCAACAACAACTACAACAACAACAACAGCAGCTTGCCACAGCAAGCGGCAGCAGCAGCAGCAGTTGCCGCACATGAGCAAACGTTAAATGTCGAGGCTGTCATATTGCAAAATCAGGTGGACACATTGCAATGGCAATTGAAGCAGGTGAGTGCCAAACAAAAGACTTAAAACACAAACTTGACATGAGAGTCGCAAGACTTAAGACACAAACTTGACAAAAGCATTGCTGCTAGTCTAGACGCCAGACTCGATAGACAACGGCGACACACAAAACGTGACTTCAACGCTCACTTTACATGCTTGACTATGCAAAGGCTGTGTTTGCCTTCCCCTCCACCCCCCCCCCCCCCCTTACTGGTCTCTCCTCTGCCCTGCCTTGTGCTCCAAATACCTTCAACTTCAACCTGTTCGCCTGACTTGTCTCTCCCTCTCTTGCTCTGCATTGTCTTCGTTCTGGGCAGCTTGTGTTCTCACGCCTAATACACTCATAATTAACAGAGGAAAAGAGAGAGAGAGAGAGAGAGAGAGGGAGAGACGTTGTCATGGCCGTGACCGCACACCTCCCTCTCACTCACCCCTTGCTCCTTTGTGCTTTCAGCGCCGTGTTAAGTGGCCTTTGTTTTGTTCTGTTTTCTTTGTATCTCATTTTGTGGCATTTCCTTGATTTGTTTTTCTTTTCTTTGATTTCATTTAAGTTTCTCGCTTCTTCTTGTTGTTGTATGTTGTCCGGCTCCGGTTACGGACAGCCGGACTGTCAGGGCGACGTCCAGCCACATCCACAATTAGGCGGCACATTCTTTTTAACGCTTAATTATAGAGCCCGGTGGTCGTCAAGTTGCCAGCTCACCTCAGCCCGGCTCCATGCCATATACCATTTGATTCTATTCTCCTCCATTCTGTTCTGTTCAGTTCTGTTCTGTTCGGCGTCTCATTGTCTTTTGGCCATTTCCTCAATGGCTTGAAACTTTTGCGGCATTAATTTTATATTTCCTCATACAATAGATACTTGGCGGGGTTTTATCTTTTATTGACTGCTGTTGTATAACTGGCAAGGCATATAGTAAATGCCAGCCCACTGTGCGTGCAATCGATATTCCTGTCAGAATCTAAAGAAAGCAACTGCTTAAATTGATTATAATTAAGCCAAACGGACTAAGGAACTTAAAATGCAAAAAACAAACGAGTTTCTTCGGTCAGAATACAAAACCCAAATGTTAATCGAAAGAATTTTAATTTCTAACCATAAATTTGCCACCCAAGGGGCGCGTCTAATTGATCAGCTTTATGTTTGGAAAATAACAAGTCGTAAAGTATTTGGGTCGCTGACTTGTTGGCAGTTAACTAACCTGGTTAATGTCTAAGCGCAGCTTGTGCTCAATACTCTTCTTCTTCTGCTTCTTGCCATGCTTTTCAATTTCCAAGCCATATTTGAACCGTGCTGACCTTCAACTTTCTCATATATGGCAAAAGACGCGCGGCATCTGCTGTGTTTACACACATTGCAACACTTTCAATCAACAAACTGATTTCAGATTCTATAATTCATCAAGTTGCAACAACAGCAACAACAACAACAATGGCAAAATATTTACGCTTTCATTTTGATTTAATGCGCTTTAAATGCGCCTCAATGAAGTTGGCTACGCGTGGAAAGCGCTCGACGAGGCGGCAGAAAATTGCAATCTAATCAGTGATAAATATTTTCCACACTTCTCTCAAGCTGGAATGCCGCCGGAAAACTTAGCCAAGCCAGAAAAACTGGGTTACACAGCAGCCAAAGGCGGTCAGCAGCAGCAGCAGCAACCGGCAAAAAAATAACAACAACAACAAAAACAACAGCAACTACAACTTCATTAAACAACAAACAAATCATGAACGAAGCGTGGGCTGCAACCGGAGACCACAGCCAAGTCCCAGACACGAGAAGCACAGCCTGAGCCCGCTTTGATTGATGGCGTCGATTGATTGAAGGCAGGAACTTTAATTTATGCGCAACCGTTTTTCATGTATGTGAGTGTGCGTGTGTGTGTGTGTGTGTGAGCGGATGCTGGCGCAGCTCTAGATGGGTTTTTAATGAACCTAAATTGTGGACAGAAAATGCCAAAGATCCACCACGAATCTGGCCCAAACTCAATACGTTTTTAGTCTGACCAACTTGGCTAACCAAATGCGCTTTAACGAATTCAACAAGGCAGTAAATGCAACAACAACAACAACAACAAATACACTTTCACATGAAGTCCGCATAGCTCATCAATCTAAATTTGCCTATGCTAACTCAGCTGAGTTGCTGCAACTTGCTGCAGCTGCCGGTTTTTATTACAGCATCTAAATAACTTGGCAACACTCGAATCGAATGACTATAGCATATAGCTGCCATAGAAAATTGGCTTCAAATTGGCTTCCTATATGCTGCAACTTTTCAATCTTTGAAGATGTTTGAAGACAAGCTCACATATATTTTTCAATTATTTATAAGTGAGGTTTATCTTAGATAGCTTTTTTTTAGCATAGAAGCAGACAACTCCTACCCCATAAAGTATATATATATTCTAGATCAGCATCAACAGCCGAGTTGATATAGTCATTTAGTCCGTCTGTCCATCTATCTATTTCTATATGAACTAGTCTCTCAGCTTTAAAGATATCGTCCAGAAACTTTGCATAGGTCCGTCTTTCTGTTGCAGGCAGTACATATGTTGGAATCGGACAATTGTCAATTTATCAAAATACCTTGACCAAACTCTGCATTAATAAGTTTCACAAGGCTCTCTACAAAAATTCAAAAAACTGTCAACATCGGACTACCATATCATATAGCTGGCATAGGAACTATAGATCGAGAAGTAGGTTCTGTTATGGCAAAATATTCTGTTCTCCTACAAATTGTTTGATCAAACTCAGAATTTTCGAGCTTTACTCTAAGGTAAATGTCTGCAAGGGTATTAAATCTTCGGCGTGTCGAAGATATCCTTACTATCTGTTTTTTTTTACAGTAATTTTTCTAAAATCCAACTATTATATCATATATCATATGGGACAAAAACGATTCTTCGAAAAATATATAGAATGGACATTTAATCTAATTTGCATTTAACACAGAGTCCAAGCCTATTCCACCGCTATTCCAGTATATATATATATTTAATATGTAATATATATATTACAGCATATATTTATAGATATGGAATGTATATATTAGATATCTATATGGTCAATGAGTAATATAATTAATATATTTGAAAGCGTATTTAATGCTCAACACCTTGCTTGTTACCTGTTGTTTCTTATAATCCCATAAATCTTAGAAATACATGTGTGTGTGTGTGTGTGTGTGTGAGGGGGGGACGCTCGTAATTCCCATCTTCAATCCAATAAACACGCAGCAGGAAAACTTTAAATGGCAGCTGCTGCTGCTGCCAAACGGAAAAACGAGCAACAACAACAGCAACAACAGCAGCAAAAACATTAGCAACCGATTTGAAAGACCGCAGCAAACATTTTGTAGCTTACGTAATCAGCAGGCTGGCCAAAAACAACAACAACAACAACAACAACATTGCTGCCAAATTGCATTGCCAACATTTGGTTTTTTTGTTATTTATTTATTTTTTATTTGTGTGCCTCATTTGGACGTCATGTGAAACTCTTTTTGGCCAATTTGGCGATTGCAGCCGCAGCCGCAGCAGCAGCAGCAGCAAGTGGGTGTGGCAGTGGCAGTGGCAGCCTTTTTGGGCCAGGTGGCATCTTAGCACTTTGACTTGCCAATTTGGCAACGCCTCGAAGCACGCTGCCCGTTAATTAGGCAGGCAAATTTCTGGGCCAACAACAATTTGGCCCAAAGACTGCAATTTCTGTGCCTCAAACGTGGCACACAGACCGCGTTTAAGTCGAGTTGGCCTGAAATGTTGTTAGTAAGATTTAGTTTTAAGTTAAATCAAAACGTCGCCTAAGTGAAAGTCATTTAACAGGGGCAGGGGGGGGGGGAGGGGGCGGGGCGAGAGTTGGATTGGACTCTGGAGCAATGAGCGACGACTGCTCCACAAATGCAACGGCATTTGTCGACGATAGAAAATGTTTGATAAACAAATTAACATAATCAGAGCATAAACTGTTTATTGATTAAAATCGAATATCATAAATACGTGACGAGTTTATTGTGGCAACGACCTTGCACCGGAGAAAGGTAAAAGAAAAGTCGACGAAAAGCAAAGAAAAGTCAAAGAATGTCAAATAATCTCGAGTTATAAGTGCGAGTTACAAAATAAAGAAAACAAAAACTCAGATAAAACACATTCCACTTTTGTAAAAGCCCAACAGAAGTTGGACATTCAAAGAATTTCGAACCCAAGAAACGTTTAGATAGAGCGGAAAAAAAAGAAAAAAAAACAAAGACAAAATTGAACAACTGTCCAACAAAATTTGCATGCAAAATTACCTAAGATAATTAACATAACAAATTGCTGCAAATGAATTTCAAATAGGAACAGGCGAAGCGTAAAATTATATACGCCAGACAAAGAGAGAGAGACAGACGAAACAGAACAGACATCTATAAAGAATACTAGACGGGGTTATACAATCGAAATTAAAGACATAACACGTTTACACATAAACCTCCATTTGACCGTCATTACGTTATGTGCCTTGAAAATGTGCCAAAATTGTTGAGAAATTCTGTTCTTATTTATATAACATTAAAATTTTAAGATTTATCAAGCAAATAATGTTATTACACAAAATCGTATGTGAATTACCACCTATTATATTTACTTACATACATACATCTTAATCATCGCCGTTCTATGCGATTCTCATGAATTGAATAGACAACTTATCTAGTATGTGAGATGTTTTTGAGAAGTATCAGAAAAGAAAGATAGAGAGCTTGAAAGAGAAATAGGCAAGTAAGGCAAAATAAAAGAGTCGGAGTCATATCAGCTATGCCGGAAGATAGAGAGACAGAGAGAGAGAGAGAGGGTAGAGAGAGAAAGCGAGAAGGGAGAGATATACAGAAGGAGAAGAAGAGGGAAAGGAAGATAGAGAAAAGGAGAGTCTGACAGAGACAGCTCTCTAATATTATTGATTTATAAATCTGCATACATCAAGTAATGAATGCATGAAAATCGCATAGAACTATTTATGTTCAATATGTTAAATATTTCTTGGAACTTATTTTAGTTTCCGGACTGACACCATATTCATAAGTTTATGAATGAATTGAAAAAAATAAAAATATTTAAAAGAAAAAAATTTAAAAAAAATTATAAACCTAGGCTCACACGAAAAGCCTAGGTCTATGTATGTGAAAATCAGCTACACGAACCGCACCCAAAGGCGAGACATGGGTGCGAGCCGTGAGGCCAATTCATAACAATATTTTTTCTCGGGTTTGCAGCCATGGAAAACTGACATAGATTTGGACAGTCTCAAACGCGAACAGAACCCAATCGAATTCGCCATTTTATCGAACTGACCTTTTCTTTTATTTTCTGAACAGACAGAAACGAGTTGTGAAATGTATCGAGCCGTAATGGAGGAAGTCGCGCGCTTCTTCGAGCGCTATCAGCAGCAGCAACAGTTGCAGCAGCCGCAGCAACAACGGCAGCAGCAGCAAGCGAATCGCCACAGTTTGGGCGGCCTGGGCGAGCAGATCTCACGCTCGAAGAGTCTGCATCATGTGCTGGGCGTGCAGAGCGATCCCAATGGCTGCCCGGAGCCTTCAGCTGGCGGCAACAGCTGCGGCGCCTCCTCGGTTGCCTCGTGCAACAGCTCAGCGTCGTATTTGCGCGCGCGCAGCAGCACGAATCTGATGCTAAACAAGTCGATGAACGAGGAGAACAGCTACGAGAGCATTGCGCCAGCGGGCAGCTACAATGCCTTCAAGGATTTCACCTGGTAAGTGTGTGTGTGTGTGTGTGGCTCAGCTGTCGGAGTATTTATTAAATCTTCATCTCCCTCTCTCTTGAACTTAACAGGCGACGCTCGCCGAAGAAGTTGGGCGGCTGCAAGTCGCGTCTCTCCTCGCCGGAGGCAGCCGAGGAGAAGCTCAACCAGGAAGCCTTTCGCCTGGCGCGCACCATACGCAATCTGCTGCACATGTCACAGCAGCAGCCGGATCTCACGCAGCCGCGTCACTCGATGGTCTCCTTGGGCGCCGGCGGCCAGCGCCTGTGCAAGAATCAGAAAACCAGCTCAGTGTTGACGCTGCTCGCACCTGCAACTGCACCTGCACCTGCAACGCTGCACAATTCCACCAGCCTGGATGTGACGGCCAACCACCCGCCGGCTGTCAAGTGCAACAACGAGCTGGACAACGGCAGCAATGCCAACAACGCCGCCGTCGCCGCCGCCGCCAGCAGCGCTGAGATGTTGTTTTTGCGCGCCAACCAAATGCGTGATTCGCGCTTGTCGCTGCGCAGCTCCACCGATAGCTCTGTGCATTCCACCATCTCCTCGACGGCCTCGTCCTCATCCAAAATCGAAACCGACGAAGAGCACGCGGCCAACAACAACAACAATAACAAGCCAGCTGCGAGCAACTGCAATAACAATGGCTCCAGCACGGAGGATGAGAGCGGCTTTAGCTCCATCAGCTCGTTCCATGACGTGGGTCTGCCGCTCAGCTCCACATTGATTGGCGGCAACAATTGCCGCCTCTCGCTCTCCGCGGAGAGCCGCAACTCGACGCTGAAGTCGGCGCTGAATGTGGTGGGCGTCCCGCTGCAACCGCTGCAACCGCTGCAGCCACAGCACGCGGCCAGCTGCCAAACGCAATCGCCAGCGAAAACCTATCGCAACGCCAATCGCTATCAGCGCTTCTCGACGCTCTCCAACGAGGATGCGGCCGCTGTGCTCTGGGTCTAGGCTGAGCCCATTCTCGAACCCCCGTTGCCCAAAACCCACCCCAGTGGCATTTCTCGCTCCATTTCAATTAAGTTTTTTAGTTTTTATGTTCTTCTACTCGCTAGTGCCTCTCTCTCTCTCTCTCTCTCTCTCTCTCTCGTTTAGTTGTTAGCCGTTCCTTAAATTAAATTTGAAATTTTTTGATTTATGTACGTTATGTATATGATATTATTTTAATTATGTATATGTATTTAGTTTCAGTTTCTTATTGAATACGCCGCATTTCTGCATTTAATTATTTGTATAGTTACAAACTAAGTTTCGCAGTATTTATATAATTTTGCAGCTACAGAAAAATAAATGTGCATTCACAATGTGTGTAAAATGGTAAAGAAAAGCGCGTGTGGCTTTATACGATATAAAAAATAAAATATATCCATATACGATATATTATTCCGATCTTAAAGCGTAAATGTAAAATATATAGGCAAGATTTGTCTTCGGCCGAAGAACATCAAATATCTTTGCGATATTACGATTTCAGATTCTCATCTGAAACACAAAATGCCTTCATATTATTATTATATTAATATCAATAATTAATATCAATATTCAACAATTTTTGGACTATAATATAATATATTTTATATGTTATTAAATATAATATAGTATGTTGACTGATGAGAACTTCAAAGCTAAACAAATAAGTTTAGAGTTAAGTTAAGTCACAGAAATCAAGAATTCTCTAGAGTTCTTAGAGACAGTTGCTTTGAAAATCTCTCAAAATTTCCGTCACAGAACTTCGAGAGATTTAATAGAGTTGTCTTTAATAATATAGTCAGATAACCTTCTGAGAGGTTTTAGTTATCCAAATCTATATACAAAGCCTAACTGATATGTTTAATATCATTCCAATCGTTAGTTTTAGTTTAAAAATTTCCTATGGACAAAAGACAAAAAATTGCAAAGCAACCAAAAATAATTCTGAGAATTCCGACGAGATTTGGAATAGGGTTGTCGCCTGCTTCAGCATCAGCGGATGAATCTATATATATACAGGTAAGTCTCTTCCAACCCAATTCCAATCCTCGGCAAGTATTTATATGCCTCTTGGCTTTGCCGAAAGCCTAATAAACCCTTGTCATATAGCTGTTAAAGAAATAATCGCTCAAAAAGAAAGTATTTGTAAATACAACATATATGCCACACATTATCTTTGTGTCCGGCAGAGTATTTACTCTTCGACCTGCCGCATACAGCTAATACTCATTTGAAATTCTTGATGTCGTATGGCAGCAGGCCTTGAGTATTACGTATGTTATGGATGACACTGCCTTAGACTTTCCTGTCATATTTTTTTGCCCACTATCTGCTTTCATTCTATCGTTAGAATTCCTCGTTTCGGCACGTAACGTTTCGCTCAAAACTTTTCGGTATTTTCCGCAATATTCCGGGAAACGCACTCAACGCTAACATACTTATCGCTAAGTATTTGCACACTCATTAAGGATTTACAGGGTATCCCAAGCATGGCCAGCGCCCAAATGCAAACATTTGAGTCATCGGTCTTTGAGCCAAATAAGTTTCTGCAGAGTCGCTTGGAGCAGTCTGCCCACATTGAGAAGCAGGAGCTGCTAAAGGAACGGGAACATGAGCTGGAAAGTGTGCCCGAGGAGCTGAACGAACAAACCTATAAAATCGAGTATAAACATCCGCTAGAGCATGTCTGGACATTGTGGTATCTCGAAAATGATCGCACCAAGCACTGGAAGGATATGCTCAATGAAATCACCCAAATCGACAGCATCGAAACCTTTTGGGGGTAAGTTCCAAGCCAAAAATGTCAAATCCTATCTGTCAACCCGTTTTTCTTTCAGCCTGTACTATACCATCAAAACACCGTCGGAGCTCAAGATTGGCAGCGACTATTACATGTTCAAACAGGGTATACAGTAAGCTAAGCTAACTAATACCTGATCAATCCAATCCAAGCTCCTAGTACTCTTGTTGCCCTTTCAGGCCCATGTGGGAGGATGAGGCAAACATCAAGGGTGGTCGCTGGCTTTTTACTGTTGGCAAGAGCTCCAAATATGCGCTCGATCGCATCTGGCTGGATATTTTGTTAATGATGGTGGGCGAGTCCTTTGAATATGCTAGCGAAATCTGCGGCGCTGTGGTCAATATACGTGCGAAAAGCAACAAGATATGTACGGACTACCAAATAATTAGCCATCTAAAGCCATATCTTAATCAAGGATCTCCTCCATTTGCAGCTGTGTGGACGGCCAATGGCACCAATGAGCTGGCCGTATTAGAGATTGGATTCAAATTAAAGACTTTATTACATCTCCAATCGCACAATCTTCAATATCAGCTGCACTCGGATGCGATGTCTAAAATAAATTCTGGCGTTAGATCTGTATATAGTCTATAACGATGGTCAATTAATAGTTGCGTATGTACAGCAGATGGGACAGGCGTAGTATAAGTGCTCAATAGTAGAAGAAACTCATTTGATATATCGCCCAAATTGTATTTTAAAATTCCAGCAAATTCAGGCAACTAAATTACCCTAATTTATTTATTATGATTAATAAAGTTGTTTGTCGCAGATTATTGAAAGGGCACTCATTGCTTTTCCTCTATAGTATTTTATAGATATATCTATAACAAGAAGGAAAACGTTTCCGCAATCGGACAGGAAATATTCAAATTGAAATATTTTCTAAAAATTTTAATGTCCATAACTCGACCAAATTAGATCCGATGTGGGAGAGATTCACCTTTATGTACTCGTGAGACTCTATAGAACAGTTTGGAATCAAAAATTTTTTATTTCAGAACTTACCCGATTTTCGCCAAAATTGTGATGACTTGCCATTTATGTTGATTTCGGCCAAATCTTAGAATTGAAATTGAATGGCAATTGATAGTCCTGGTCCGTACGAGTAAATCAAGGTATACGGATCGGAAATCGGACCTGAAATACCCGAGATATTCCAATTTTTATATTTTTCAAAAACTTCAAATGTCCATATCTCGGCCAAATGAAGTCCGATTTGGGTGAGAGTTGCCTTTCTATACTCGTGAGACTCTATAGAACAGATTGGAATCAACAATTCTTGATTTTAGAACCGAGCCGATTTTCGCCAAAATTGTGATGACTTGCCATTTATGTCGATTTTGGTCAAATCTTAGAATTGAAATTTTTGAATGGCAATCGATTGTCCTGGTCCGTACGAGTAGAACACGGTGAACGGCTCGGAAATCGGACCTGTAATACCTGAGATATTCCAATTTTTATATTTTTCAAAAACTTCAAATGTCCATATCTCGGCCAAATGAAGTCCGATTCGGGAAAGATTCACCGTTCTGTACTCGTGAGACTCCAGAGAACAGATTAGAATCAAAAATGCTTGTTGTCAGAACCGAGCCGATTTTCGCCAAAATTGTGATGTTACCTCTTGCCATTTATGTCGATTTTGGTCAAATCTTAGAATTGAAATTTTTGAATGGCAATTGTCCTGGTCCGTACGAGTAGAACAAGGTATACGGATTGGAAATCGGACTTGTAATACCCGAGATATTCCAATTTTTATATTTTTCAAAAACTTCAAATGACCATATCTCGGCTAAACGAAGTCCGATCTTGCAAAAAAGTTTCTTTGCGTACTCTTGACATTCCGCAGAATCGAATCCATTATTTTTCCAGCGAGTATCAGTTATAATTAATTCGATTCATGGAACTCCGTGTCATTTCTTCTAGTCAAATTCAATTGGTTTTGAAGTTTCATGTCATTGTTTATATATTAAATCTTAAACATCACCATCATGCTCTGTTACAATACAACTTAATGCTGTAGATGCCTGTCTCAAACAAATTGAATGAGGTTAACATTAATCGTTATGTATATACTTTTTAAAAATTTACTCAGTAAACATTCACAGCTTTAGCAGTATGGCGACAAGCCGAACATAATGAAATCGAACCGATTTGTTTTCAGTGCGTGAATGCGATTTCAAGTCACTAATACGATTAGTTATATTACATACGATTACATTGAACATAAAGTTATAGACATGGTATATGTATATATATATATATATGTATAGATAGACATATTAAGAAGTACTATTTACAATTACGCTCAGACTTGAGCGATACATAAATTATCGAGAACGCCAAAAACAACGCAAACGCTTCAACATTTGCGCGCAACATTTAATGGCGACAAATAAAAATTGCTTAAAAGAATTCTAAAATTACGACCTTATACTGATTGGACGCGTGAGTTTTGTTTTGGTTTTTTTGTGAGATTACGAATATCGAAAGTATGCAATACAGTCATGATTACGCATGGGCACAAGTGAGTGTTCGAGACGTACTTAAGGCCTACTAAAGAGTTCATATGGAATACGCTTATTGGGTGAGTTGAGCATTAGCCGGGGCCAGACTCAAGCATCGCTGGCTAAATTCGACCGACAACGGCCTTGTTTTTGCGCGTTGGCTGCACAGAGAGCGGCGGCACGACCAGTAGCTCGGACTGCGTAGATGGTGAACTGCTGCGCATGCTGGCACAATCCTCATCAGCTACTTCCTGTAATGTGGCAATAGATTTAGTAAAATACATGAATATATTATATCTATATAGTAACTCACATTAATGTTGGTGCAGCTGGCCAGACGCATCTGTGCCAGCTGCGAGGCGGGCGTCAGCGAATTGGTGCTGCCAAACGGCGATGTCATCATTGTGGATACCGCACGTTTCAGCTTATTGGGCGTTTTGTTAAAGGAAAAGGCGCGTCCCACCTGCCAAAAATTAAAATTGCGTTTAGATTGATCACATTATGGGATCAGCTGTTAGGCAACATACCTTGAGGCGCGTTTTTGCAGCCAATTTAAAGGCCTTGCTCAACGTGCTGACATTTACATCGCTGATGTCCACCTCCAGTTCCAGTGAAGTGCGACTCAGCATCATTTTGTCCTGCAAACAAAATGAACATCAGTAAGTTTATATAAATTGGACGCTTTCTTTAACTACTCACAGCATCTGTGCGACACGTGTGCGCGGCAATTTGCATGCACAACTTTTTAAGATAGACCAGCTTATCCGTTTCCTCGTCAATGATACTAAAGGTGTAGAGCTTCTCCTTATCGCCACGCTGCAGCAGGCCAAAGGCACGCGGACTGTCCGTAATATCAATGACAAAGCGTATCGTATTCAGCGATATCAGTTTTATGTGCTTATGCGTTTTGGCCGTGCTCGGCGATTTGGCCGTGTTGAAGCCCCGCGAGCGACGCTTGCATAGCTCTATGGAATCGGAGAACAAGTAGAGCAATAGGCTGTCGCCACGCCCACTCAGTGAATCGGACAGCTCGTTGACCTCACATTTGGAGATAAAACTGCGATTGGAGCTAACCAAGTGTGCTGGACAGCCATCGATATCGTTGAATATATCAAAGATGGCCATGCGAGATTCCGTGCGCCGCTTGTCCTCGTTGATGTGCAGCGTCACCTGCTTGATGGCCTTCAGTGCATCCTCGAGACGCGCATGATCCGCATTGCTGCTGTTAGTATGCTTCAGTATATCATTCAGCAGCAGGCTAATGCTGGGTAAACGCTGCACGGGTCGGATCATTAGATCTTGTAGGCTCTGACGTCCACACTCGGGCTTGGTTTGGTTGATCTTGAGGAAGGCGTGGAAGCGTGGGTATTCGCGATCACAGTACTGCAGCTGTTCCTTCATCTGCTCATAGAAATTCACATATGGCGGATATGCCTTGATCAGATCATCGCGATGCTGGATAATGATGTCCCCGATGAGACAATCCTCCCGCCAATTGGCATGCAGCTTGCGCAAATGCTCCAGCATGCTCTGATGCACCTCGTGTATGGGCAGAAAGTTGCCAAAGATTGACTTGATCTCTGATTTATTCAGCAGCGAATCATTCGTTTCGGCCAACTCATCCAGTTTGTTCTTGAACAGCTGCAGGGTAAAGAGAGGGGACTTTAGCCATGTTCAATGAGGATCAGTAGCGGCTACCTACATTCAATATGGTATCCAGTATACCCACATAGTTGGACTCTGTGGTAAAGAAGTCCATAAAGTGATTAAATCGCATGGATTTCTTGGTGGGCGTGGCCTCGCTAGCTTCTGGCTCCACATGCAGCAATAGCTTATCATTCTCCAGCTTATCGGGACTGGTGGTGCAGTCAAAGAAGCTATTCGAAACGGACAATAGGCCAGCATCCGATACCGAAGATCGCCGCTTGCCCGTGCCCAGGGGTGTGCCCTCCAATTGTATGCGCTGTGAGAAACGCTTCCGTTTCCGCTTGTTAAAGCTAATGGGCAGCGAATCGCGACGATCTGTGCTCGGCGTATTCGTAATGCTATCCAAATACTATATATAAACCGATAAAATTATGGTTGGAATATATTTTAAATACGTTTATTATGGCACTTACATCGCCGAATAGATAATCCATCTCGTTGGCATAGCCATTCTGTATGGTATACCAGAACCAGTCCGATTTCAGAATGTGCGTATTATGATTCTTGGGCTCCGGCTTCGACACAGTCGTGTGCTCGTCCACGACCTGATCGACAGCGCATTCGAGAATTAAGAAAAGCGTACAATTAGGAATTGTTTATGAATTGTTATTGCCATAATCGTGCAATAAAAACGATATGAAAATGTGCAATGTGAAAAATGTGATTAAAATAAAAATGTTTTGTTTGTTGCCAAATGCATTCAATACAATCTTAAATCAAGCGTCCAACTAATTAAATCTATTGTACAGTTCACAAAAGCAGCAGCAGCAGCAGCAGAGCAGCACAATAAATTATTTATTAATATTCATACAGAGATTCTGTATCGGAATCCAAATATGTTTTTGATTCCGTGTTCAAGTCGAACCAAAAAAAGGAAAGAAAGAAAAAAGGCCAAACAAAACATTTTTAGTGCACATTCTTGGCAGCACTTTGAAACGGGCATAAAAATCGCAAGCAAAACAAAAATCATAAGACAAAAGTGTAGAAAAATAGAAAGAGTAAAAATATAAAATTGTTTATCTCGAAATTCCTGCCATCGAATGTACTGAAACATTTGTGCAAATATTTGTTAGTCTATAGCAAGAGAAATGTCTTCTTTTTTTTTTGCTTTAAAGAACTCGAGATCGACCAGACTTCATGTATATTATGTTTTTGTTACTATTTTTTTTTTTGGGAATTCTTGAAGGCATTTTTAACATTTATTCAAGCGGAACGTGTGCTGCTATTCGTTGTGCAAATAAATGTTTATCAATATTTATTGTGCTGCTTTTCATGTTGTTGTTGTTGCGTGTGCTCGGAAAACAGAACAGAACAGGAGAATAGAGTAATATTAGAGGAAATATTTAAAAAAAGCCAAAATAAAACAAACAAAAAAACTTCAAACACCGCACCCAAATTATGACTTAAACTACAACATAACCATAAACAATTAACATGTAATTTAATTTAATTTTTCAATGGGTTGTGGGGTTTTGGGTTTCCAATTTGGTCTGAAAATGGGGCAAAACAAAAAAAGTCCGCAGCTCGTTAAGCAGCTGAAAAATTGTTGAAAATGCGCGTCGAGTTGTTTTTATATTATATACAAAAGTTGGTTGAAGCTTGGTAAATAAATAGCACAAAATGTTTCAATGCAAATGAAGAGCGAGAAGCGTTGGCAAAATAGAGAAGTGGCTGCGCACAAATAAACGAAGGCGAAAAATAATTGAGCGAAACTTGAGAAGCTGCCAAAGTTCAAATGAAACGTGTCAAATTTGCAATTCTTATATAGCTGAATTGGGATAGTTGAACAAAGTTAAAACTTCCCTTTAAAGTTTCTCTGACACGTGGCAGTTTTTAACATGAACTTAAGCAGTACTGCTTTAAACTCAATATCATTCGAACCAAAGCAGTTTCTTTATGCAGCAATTCACAGACTTTAGTTAAACATGATAGCAATGCCCTACAAAGTATTTATGCTGTGCCGTTTCAAAGCGTTTCCAAGTTTTTTTAATGGGCTATTATCCATGTAAGTACCATTTGCTCATCGGCAGCGAACGCGTTGCAGTCGCCCTGCGGCGGTGTCGACGTTGTCAGCTTGGGAGCATCCATTGGCACAGCGATCAATGATGATGTTATTGAAGTTGATGATTCTGATGATGTTGTTGTTGTTGATATAGATGATGTGACTTTTATGGGCAACATGGCTGTGGCAGCAGCACAGCAGGCAATTGCAGAGGATGTTTCACTGACAAGGGCATTACCATTGGTACTGGTATCGGAATTGGAATTGGGGTTGGGATTGCTAGCATTGTTAGTTGAAAATGTTAGGGAGCAGCTCCCACCTGCACCACCACCAACCGGACCGAATAGACGCTTTGCTGTTTTCTTGGCGGCCGAGGCGCTGCTAGCGCCAAATCGTTGCAACGGCGCCTTGGGCGTCTTGAAGCCGCTGTCCAGCGGCCCACATTCGGGCGTGGCCTCGCGCTCCGCACGGCGACTGCTGCTGCGCGTGATGCGATCGCAAATGCTGCGCAATGCTTTGACCGGTTTCCGTATCGATTCGTTCAGCGTGCTGTTAATGCTGGCCAGCGAGCACATGGAATCATCCGCCTCGATTGTCTCGCTGCCCAGAAATGTGGACGCATCCGCAACGGCAATGGAGCTGCGTCGTGTGCGCAGCGTTTTGATGATGGGCGTGCGATCGGCCACGAAACTCATGGAGCGCTTCAAGGTGCGCGTTATGGAGCCAGTGCGTATGAGCTTTGGTTTCTTGGTGCTCGCGGGCAGAGCAAATGAGTCCACAGACATCAGCGAGACGCTGTCAAAACTGTCGCGTTTCCGTTTCAGATCATTCTCGGCAGCGGCTGCCGTCAAGTCATCCGTTTCCATGTCGCATTCATTAATTGTATCGATGGTCAGCAGCTTGGCAGGCGCTATCAATATGGGCGACAGGCTCTCTGCGTTTGTCTGAAACTCATCTGCGGCCGATGGGCTGCCACTGCAGCTGGTGGGCGTGCCTGCGGTTATAATGATGCTTGGCTGTTGCTTGATGCTCTTCGGTGTACTGGCCTGAACATCTTCCTCATCCGCGGAGTCGGGCAGCGGTAGCTCTTCAGGCTGCTGTATATCGCCGGATTCCACAAACAAGCGCACATCAAAATGTATGTCATCGAGTTCATCTGACTGATTCTCCTTATCAGACACAGGCTGCTGCTCCTGTTGCTGCAGCTGATCCTCCTCCTCCCTCTCTTGCTGTTCGTCCACATCAGCAAAGTCTAGGTCCGTTTTGCGGTTGGGTGTGGCTGTGTGGCAGGGTCTGCTGCTTATTTGGTTTTTAGTGTTAGTGTTGTGGTTAGTATCAGTGCTAGTAGTGCTAGTGCTAGTGCTTGTAAGGACAGCGCCCGTATTGGGCATCACCTGTAAGATATATACACGAAAATCAGCCATAAGACACAAACAAACCAACAAAACGCTTAAGCCAAATGCCAGTGAGTTGCATGCAAATTACGACTATACAAAATTGAGTAGAAAACTGCCCCAATTGGTCTTAGGGGTAGAGGGATAACTCACGACATGCGAGCACTCCGGATCATCCAGTTCGGCACAAACGCCGCCATTCTCCAAGAGCACATCGACCATGTGTTGATGCTCCTCAGCGGGAAAGCCAAAGAAGCAAATTTTCTGGCCTTCGAATGCCTTTAAACGATGCGCCTTGGTAAAGCTATCCTGTGTGGCCTCAAACTCCAATGAATCGCGTGCTGACCAAGCGGCATAAACCCAAGCGGGACGCACCACCGTCAAGCGAAAGGTTTTGGCGTATCTGTTTGGAAGAGAAGGCAAATTCATAAATATATGCTAGTCAAATTATTTAAAAGAGCTTTAAGATAAACAGTCAGCAAAGGTTATACTTTTTGAAGCCTTTTATAAACGAGCTGACGAATTTTTAACATTTTATGCAGTTTTTATTAAATTATCTTGGTTTAAGAGAACAGCATTCAGAACAGCTTTACAAAATTTAGACTGCATTAACAATTGAGCTTTGCGCTTTGATAGAGCTTTAAGATAAATAGTCAGCACAATTGATCATATTTAAAGGTTTTATGAGCGAGCTGACGAATTGAGCTTTGAGCTTTAATTAAGCTTTAAGTTAGTGCACAACACTTATCTCATTTAAAGCTATTATGACAAACCTTTACAAAGATTTTAGCAGTTTCTTTTTGTCACATGCACAAGATTAAATCCACTGTTGATTATTTTGCAAGCCGCGTCATTTGGTTTGTTTAAAGCTTTAAGCTGATATCATTTAACTTTAATACTTACTGATACTTTTCGCCACCACTGTGATTGCATATCAGATGCGTGGTTTTTGTATTCAAATCCTTCTTGATGCAACCGCCCATGGAGTGTATGAGATTTACCAGTTTAGTCTGCAATTGAAAGGAATAATATTTAATAAAGTATTCGTTCGGATAGACTGGCTGCTGCCCCACTCACCAGCTCATCCTTTTTGCGTATGCCCGTGAAGCAAGTGACCACGCCGCGCATTGCATAGTTGTAAATGGGCCGCGTATTCTGGCCCAGTGTCTGTTTCATCTCTGCCGCATACTTCAAAGCGGGTGGACCCAAAATGCTGCAATGCAGAAGTAAAAGAAGGGTGGAAGAAAACACAATTAAATATTTATGTGGCACACTTTTGAGTTATGCAAGGCAATTTTTAATGCCCCCAATTGACCTTGGCCATTGCTCCGCGCCAGCCATATATCAAACTGTTCGAATATCACTCAAGACTCTGCAGATCGGTTAAAGGCGCTTCCAGTCGAAACTGAAACAGTCAAGCAGCCGTACGAACAGGCCATTCACGAGTGACTGCAAGTTAACAATCAGTTGAGAGCAGGTCTGATGCGATGCGACACACACAGAGACACATAGACACACACACGACACCAGACCAGGTGGCAATTGCTGGGCATGTAAACAACAATCAAAAAGCCAGACGAATTCTGAACACTGAACTTTGACTTGAGCCTCAACGACAACCGACAGCCCCACCGACCCCGACCGCAACCGCAACCCCAAACACCACAACTCATGCTGCGATCAATTTGTTTAAGGGCTTTTTGTTTATGACGAAGCAGATGCCAGCCCGGGGGCTGACTGTACAGTACTGCCTGTCTGCTACTGTGCGTCCAACTGGCCACGTACCGGAAGTTTTCATAAACAAATCAATCGAGCGGAAGTGGGCGGATGCTGCCCACTGAGTCTGCCTGGCCAGCCTGTCTGCCTGCCAGCCAGCCTGCCTGTAAATGTATTTATGATATTTTTACAATATTGAAATTAATTTATGTACATTTGCATTCATCATTCATTCATGCGTTCGGCTGTGGCTAGGATATACGCAACACGGCCATTCAATGCTTGGCTAACAATGAGCCATAATCAAAATAATGTATATAAATACAGAAAATTCCAGGAAACATTATTTTTGGCAAGAAGTATAAATAAGTGAAAGCATATGAAATAGCTTAAGCTTAAGATTGACAAGGGACACACTTAACGAATTCAAAGAACAGACATTTAAGACCTTTTTGGTGATGTTATGTATGGGGCATGTACAAATAATACAGCTTTGGAATATAGTTGAATTCTTAAAGAATGTGTGAGACATTAATAATAAATGATCTTACTTGAGCAACAAAGTGTATAAATACATACGCGTCTAATATTAATATATTATATATTCTATATAAGAATTTACTTTAGCCTTTTTATTTTTAATTTATTAAAATTATTTGATCTAGGCACTTGGGCATAAAAGAAATCATAAATTAATCATGTAAAGTTGATAAATATTTTTTCATATAAATATATATTTGATATATATACTCAAAAAAATGATTATATAAATTATAATACTTAATACCGCTTGTTTGTGGAATGACAAATATTTTATAATCAAGTGACAATTTTAGAAGCTAATTCGTAAATTCAACGCAAAATTTGTAAAAGGCCTTTGCTTATATTCAGACGCTCACTGAAATTCTTTTCTAGTTTTTGTTGGCCAAAGCTATAAATGCTGAAAAGCATTGAACATTTTCCATAAAATAAAAGCTATTAAGAAAATAATGTATGTATATATGTATATATACAGCTTATGGAAACTATGTTAAAGTGGATTCGATTCTATGAGAAAGAATTTTAGCGCATTTATATTAAGAATTAACTAGGGTTCAAAGTTCAAATCCCTTGTTTACTAAATAAATATTAAAAATAGTAAATAAGAGATATTTGTTAAAAGAAACTCGCCTATAAATGCATAATATGTATGTAGATGTATTTTATTAAAGCTAACACAGGTGATGTTTGGCTCACCAAAACCCATCTGCAAATCTTTCGAAACCCACAAGATCTCCGCTTAGAAGCACGTAAAATCATGCCATTCTGTATAATATTAAGACCATATAACTATGCCAGTAACACGCTTGTGTTGTGGGCCCGTCTTAATTGGCTTTATCTTAGAGTCCATGCACATTGCACAATGCGTTTCGTTTCAATTAGATGGAAGAGAAGAAACAATACATTTGGAAACTTAAGACTTGTTTCAGAGCACAACCGACACGCACTTCAATTTCACCTGATAAGGCGAGACTTCTCACAGCTTTCACACAGTCTGCTTGCACTTGTTACACACACACACACACAACCCCCGCCCGCACCCCTTCACGCTGTAATTCTTACCACAAATAGGTTTCCATATGCAGCGCACAAATGTTTAAACAAACGTTGAGTTTTGTCAGCCTAGGCTGAATTAGAGTATAAAGAAATTTAGTGGCACGACACAACGAACGAGAATATATATTTCTATTTATTGGGAAAATACGTAAAAACGGTTTGATGATTCTAACGGCACAGCTAAAACTAAACAAACACAACTGTTGCGCATTGTGGCCTGGGGAAAATGATTGAGCCAAATGCCGAGCGTCGACGTCGACGGCGGCGGCGGCGGCAGCTGCGGAACGCAATGGAATGAAAAATTGTGGAAATAGAAAATGCCACTTGATGGCACACACTCAAGTGCCAAATGCCACACACTCACACACGCACACACATTCGCTGTAAGCTGCGCAAACATTGAACGGCAGAGAGAACCCACGAGCCAGATGACAAAACGGTAAACAGAGCGCCAGAGGAAAGCGGTCGGGCATGGGCGGGGATTCGGTGACAGGTGAATTTATGCAAATATTTGACATATAAAATGTATATACGTATGCACACATTTCATAGGCATTTCGTAGAACAATCAATGTGAAAACCAAGGAAAACCCAAGCGCACAGCTTAGTCAAAGCACAAAAATGCGCAGCGCGTGCTCTCCAGTTGAAAGATGAGCCGCAGCCGACCTCCAAATTGGATGAATGTATGTGTTTATGGACCATTGGACACTCCATGAAGAACTTGTTGCTTGTAAAGTGCGCTGATCTTTGGCTCTACCCTACCCTACCCCACACACCGCCTGCCTGCCTGCCCACAACCACTCGAACTTTGCGAGGGTCAAAACTATAGAACAGTCAATGACAGCAACGCGTTGAGTACTGTCCCCTTCCAACCATAACCCCTCCCCCTCCCCCCATCCACCATCACACACAATTAATTTGCCATACTGAAAACTTATAAATTATATACACGCACTGTGGGGCTGTACATATACAAAGATATATCAAAAAATATAATAAAAATGTATATAGTATATTTATATTTTCTGCGATTTGTGTTCTCTTTTTTGTTGTTGTTGTTTGTCAAGAATTTCCGACTTGTTGGCGACGCTTTTCACACTTTCTACGCGACTTGACATCGTGGTGTTCCATATAAAACATTTTTTATAGAATCTTGGCGCCAAACGATTGCTGCAATATGACGCAACTCCCGCAGCTTTGACGCCCCCCCCCCTCCCACTACACACCCCCGCGCCAATAAACGACCACCTCTGCAATCACAACGCGAGCGATTCATTTCGATTTCATTGGAAGTACGCAAACTTTTCGACTTAACAAATTCCTCAACCAAAAATTGTCATGTGTGTTGGGCAAATTTTCATTAAATTTTGTTTATTTTATTTTTTTTTAATTTTATTTTTGATTTTATGAGTTTTAGTCGATGAATGAAAGCGCCCCAAAATAGGCAATTCCCCCAACGGGAACACAATGCAGGCGAATTCCTATGATTCAGTTTGGCTTTATATACAATCATATATGTTTATCTGAAAGTACTTTTAACTACACATATACATAGTATATATGTACTTTGAATCTATAGCAAATGTTGGCGTGTAGCAATTAACAAGATCTTTTTGGCATCATTTTTGCGAGTTTAAGTGGCCGTTAAGTGTCTCGAGTCTGTGAATGCAGCAATTCTCAAAAGCCATTCAGGGAATTTTCTCAACAGCTGCTTCAATATTTTTCCCTTTACTTGGCTTTTCGCGGGAAGCACCAAAAAGTTCCTATGAATTATATAACAGCACATACATTTGTAATATCACATATAGCACGGCCTTCTTTGGAAAGGCTTCACTTTAATTGGGAACAGAAGGCGTAGATGGAGGTTAAGTAGCGTTCAATGAATGTATATGTACATATGTATGTACATATATGTGAATATATGTGAAGGGTAGGTACACACAAGTCTACAATATGTTGAAATTATAAGAGTTCCGAAATGTTTATGCAATGAAATTCGTGTATTGCAGTGTGCGAAAAAGCATCCAAAAATTATAAATGAACAGAAATTAAAGCATAAATGCTTAAGGCATTTTAATTTAAAAGCCCCATAAAACTGAATCTTAGAACGAATACTATTAAAATATATAGTATATTATATAATTTATCATTCAATTTTCTTTTGATTGTGTTTGCAGCAGGCAGAACGCAGCAGATGTTATTTGCTTCTTCTTCAGCTTTGAATTCAAATTTATCCTATACATACAATATAATATCGTGTAAATATCATTCCTAACTATTTACTTTGGCTCCACCTGCGTAAATCATAAACCGCAGCTGTATTCATAGTATTCACTAACTCATATCCATGAATGGTTTATAAGACTCAAATTCTTCAATAGACAAAAATAGTGACTAAGCTCTCTTTATGCTTGCAACGTCAAATAATATTATTTAAATATTATTCTTAGCTAATTGGCAACTATTTATGAGAATTATGATGAATTTATTTTGAGCAAAATGCCATAAAAAATTATACACTTATATATTTAGTCCTAACTAAAAACAATTTTATGTGCAAAAAAATAAAAAAAAAGAGAACGAGAAAAATGTAGAAAACGAAAACAAACAGTCGAAACATGAATGAAATTTTGGCAAATAAATAATACGCGTAATTCTCTATGTCGGAGGTGCCTCTTCTGGCTTCCGTTTCTCTTTCTTTGCTCTTTACATGTTTTGTGCGAAAAAAAAGGCGAAGAAAAACTGATGTTGAACATGAAAGCGTAGCAAAACAGGCAATAGAAACGCCGCCCTGCCCCCCTTTTCCCATGCCCCATGCCTGATGCCTGATGCTTTGCCACAATCTGCAAGCCAAGAAACTTGCCCACAACAAACGCATTTGTTGACCTTGGAAATGATCGTAAATAAATATAAAACAAAAAAATTATTATTGTTAATCTCTAATGAGGCAGTCCGTGCATGTTTTTTGTGTTTTGTGTTGTTAAAGTTATTATTGTTGTTGTTGTTTAATTTGAATGTTGCCATATTACTGCGCAGCGGGTAAATTAATCAAGCGTGTCGCCTAATGCCGCAAGTCTCAAATTTGACAACAATTTGTAGCAAATTTGCAGAAAAAACTATGTTAGAATGCTTCTGGCGAGGGTAATACGAACGGTTTATACCCTGCAATCAATGGTGGGCAAGAAAAAGTTGGGCAGGCAAAACAAATATGGATTCAGTTATTGATTATGAGTGGAAATATGTATGCATATCGTGCTTACCTAATGCTCTCCAATATTCCCTTTTTACTATCATATATTTTAAGCCCTACGAACTATTAAATGTGATATATATTATTTGAACTCTTTGGAGCTTAAACAAACCTGCTTAGTTTACATTGTGTCTTACTTTTCTTAACAATTTGTTTATTGTGCTTAGAATCACCACATTAGCTCGAAATCCAAGTTAACAAAGAATATTGAAGGTATTGAAAGAAAATTGGACAACAATTAACCAAACTTAAATCGAAAAACTTTTATGTCCACGTCAAATTGAATTAAAGCTGTTATTTAAAGTAGAGCTTACCCTACCAAATATTAAATTATGATAAATTCATTTTTATCTAGTTTTTTAAAAGTTTTTCTAAAGAAAATAGTTTTAGTTTACGAATACTTAATTGGAGCCAAAACGTACCTTTTTGTTGTTTTTCTTATTTATAACTTTTGTTTTTTAAACTTTTTTGATAATTTTCTTTTGATAAATAAAGTTTAATAATAGTCAAATAGTACAATAGTACGAAGACATTATTGGTACACTATATACATTTTAAAACCAAATTGATTTGACCCAAAAATTCCATTTCATTTTTAACTATGAACCGAACCCAAATCAAACCAAACCTGGTCCAACCTATATCTTTTTCAAAAATGGATTTATCCATATTTGGTAGATGCAAATTTAAGCTAGATGTTATATTGATAAATATAGATATAAGATATTGAAAATAGTAAGGCTTGCACAACTGTCAAAGTTAAAGCCTGGATTAAAGAACGTGAAAGTTCGGATTTACCAACCAAACCTAAAGGCAGGGTGTTGGTTCAAAGTGTGCTTCGAACCAGCGACTGTCTTTTATTTGCAACCCCCATAATAATAATACCCATTTGACGCTATAAAATCGATTTTTATAGGGTATGCAAATGGGAAGGGTGAATTGTCCCCGTTTTTGGCGCTGTCAATCTACCACAACATTTCGGTGGGGGTGGCCCCTGCTACCCCCGTTCGGTGCATGTTTTTTTTTTGGGATAGTCAGCACATGCGTATGTCTAAATTTCAAATTTGGCTGCTGTTGCCGCTTTACTCGTGGCATTCTGTGGCGTCATGTCGCGTCTTGTCCAATTTAAGTTCGTATTTATAGATAAACATAGATCTAGTTGCTAGTGGGAACACTTACCATTCCTTTTGTTTGTGTATTGTGTCGAAGATCTCGTCCTCGAAGTCCTGCAGCACATAGAAAGTGCGCCAATCCATATCATTGATGATGTCCAGACCGGTCTCCGACTGGATGACAGGCATGCCAAAGCTCTCGGCTGCCTGCAGCGTGTCCGCATCTTTGCCAGCCTCGCCCACCAGGCAGATGCGTGTGGGCAGCTTTGACATAATGGACATTTCTGCAGATGGAGAATGGGTATGACACAAGGCATTAGTATGTTACTCTCGTCTAGTCTCTATATATAGAACAAAGATTATATGGCTTAAGTGTGCAGGGCACAGTCAGGCGACACAACTCGTGGACGTGTTGTTTAGTAATTGAGTCTGTTTAAGTATATAAAATTATCTGTATGGGTTAAATCTTTTTATCTTCCGTTTATAAAGTTATGCGGAAGAAAACTGAATTTGACTTTGATATACTCTGTAAATAGGTTTTACATTTATAAAACGTTAATTCTAGATTTGCATTACTTCTTTTAGTAATCGCACCTAGGGTATATATATACTCTGTAATTGGTTATAAATTAAAAAATGTTAAACTTTAAAGTGATTTTCATGCAAGAGTTATAATTTTGAGTGCATATTCCCTTCATGTTGTCTATTTCTATTTATTTAGAAATATTTTTATATTATTTGCACTTAACTACACAATACGCGAAGAGAAATCTAGGTTAAGTTCTATAGAATATTATTTTTCTTAGCTTACTTAATTTCTTTCAATGAGTTGAGCTTGATGATAGAAACGAAAGAAACTAAGTGCTTCACAAGGCAGAGGAGCTGCATTTGATATACATTTAAACATGTGATTTGTATAATTGATGAGCACTTCAGCAACATCGCCTTCAACCCTCGCACACGCCCTCTTAAGTACTTTTGGCGCAAACAGCCCACTAAATTTTAAGTACACTTTGTTCAAGAGTGAAGGTGGAGGAGGAGGAGGATGAGGAGAGAGGTGAGCGTATTCAAAGTTTGGCGCTATGATTTATGGCCATCAGTTTTTGTTTGTTTATGCAAATGGCGAGCTGTGAAGGCGCACAACAAAAGCCAGGAGGGCGCGAAACTTTTGCGCAAAAACAAAACAAATCAATTGCAAGACGAAATAGAAGCAAGTGGAGGATCTCTGCGAGCATCTGCAGCATTCACATCAGCAGCAACTGAAGGGCAGAGTCGATGTCGATGTCGACGTCGATCATTTAGCCGCAATTTTGTGAGCTGTTGACATCAATTTTAATTGCGATCGCCAAGTGCTGATTGCTGTCTATTATTATTACTATTATTATTATTTTTGTTATTGTTTGTTGTTGTCGTGTACGCGCCACCCAACCACCCCCCCGCTGTGACCTTCAGATCATTGCCATCTTAGTTCTGGCATGCCGAAAAATGCAAAAACAAGAAAGAAAATGCAGCCGCCGCCAACCATACAGAACCACCCACCCACACGAGCGCTACAAAATGGTTCAAGTGCATACAAATTTTCCACCAGCCCCTGTACACACACACACACACACACCCCCTAACCTCTCCACACACACACACACACACACCCAGCTACTGTATTTGTGCATTAATTTTATCCAGAATTGTGCAGCTGTAACTGATGCCAATTGCGCTTTTGTATCTCTGCCGCTCGAGACGAGGCAGAGGCAGACATCGCCACTTGTGCAATTGAGAAAAGTTCAGACACGCTGCTTTCCATACAGATGCTCCCCCTCGCCCTGTGGGGGATGGGCAGGAGTTGCATGTGTTCTGTTGTCGCCACATGACGCATGGAATTTTTAGAATAACTCATTTTTACAATGGAAATTTATGGGCATTACCCGTCAAATATTTTGTTGTGTTTATAAAGTTTACACCTTTGGCTGTGGAATGCATTGCATGACATGCACTAATGGCCCGTTTTTTTTTTTATTGTTTTTGCTGCTGTTAGCCAAGTCAGTAAAACAAAAAATGGGCTGCAGTGCAATTATCGAAGTAATAATATCAAGTGAAACACTTGTCCTAACAACAACTGCGAAAGTAGCCCGGAGCGGGTGGACACTATTTATGTACATGGCACAAGTCTCAAATTATTATTAAAAGCCTAAGAATTCAATAATACGATATGCTGTGGCAACTTCTAATGCACAAAGAAATTTGTTTCAATTACATTCTCAAGAAATGGGAAAACATATTTTGTATAATATGTGTACGTTAAACTGAACTCTACGCAAATTTAAAAAAAAAAGTAATAAAAAGATTAAATGTTAGCTAAGTTATTTGTAGAAAATAAGGAAGATTTTTTGAGTTCCTATTTCTAAATAGGAATAAAATAATATTCTGTTAATTTAATGATTTTTAGGATAAAGCTTGTCCCACAAATAGTTACTTTTAATTCAAGACTTTATAAGCTTTATAAAATACAATACTCAAATTAGTTTACTTCTCTTTACTTTTTAGAAATGTTTTATATTATTGCCTATAAAATTATTTTATAAGCCAAATGTTTAAACTAAAAGCTTTTAAATGTTATTGCTGGCGGCCTTTTCATGCGATATGATTTTTCATAATCAGATCGAGACAATAATGTATCTTATATAATTCTGCTTCTAATTGCATTTATTTTAAATTTATATTCCGCATGGTATACGTATATAATTATCAGATTTTGTGTGTATATTCAGCTAAAATAAAGAATTCTCTGCTTGAATTAAGAATATCTCTCTGCTCTGTTTGAGTTTGGAAGCGCTAAATTCCTAAAAATTCGATTTTAATTCACAATTTAATTTATTGTTATTCATACTGCGTAGCAGAATTCGAGACTGGAGAATGAACTACGTTGTTCAAAAATGGTTTCTGTTAGTACATTTCTTGGCATTTGGCAACTAATCTCAAAATCTAACCTTTTCATACCTGAGCAAAGCCCTATGATCCCTGGCAAAGAAATGAAATACCTGTAAAGTCCTCATACACCTGACATAGTGCAGCCTGTTTAAGATTCGCCTGTTTAACTCCCTCCTGAGCTGTGTACGTGAAGTAGGACCAGGCATGACGACGAACCGTGACCAAATTGTTCGTGATGTTGCAGCCCTTGCCGAAGGTGAGCTGGGAAGTCGCTGCAAGTGGCAAGTGCAACATGACGAGGAAGCGACGTTTAAGGATCAAACTCTGAACAGCAACTAAACTGAGGGAACAACCGAGAACGCAGCCAGGCGGAAGCCACAGGTGTGCGCCCCCGTCGAACGGACACAAATGCAAATACAAATGCAAGTTAAGGGCAGAGTGCGAAACGACCCTCACAGGTGGTTCTTGGGCCTGATAGAGGGAGATGACGGACGGCAAGAATTTGCTCTTTGGGAATTTCCTTCTGCCATTGCCTGCGCTGGCTGGTCACTCAAATGCTTCTTCTTCATCATGTACTTCGTTTTCGTTGGCCCGTTGCCAAAAACATGATGAAAAACTAATTGAGTGGCATTTGCATAATGAAAATACTGGGGATCTACACGCACACGTTTGGGATTTTGCTAGAGATTTTGTCATATAGACTCATCAAAGAGGAATCTTGTAATAAAATTACGTTGTCAGCTGGCAGAGCCTTGACGCAGTCCGCTACGGCGACGCAGACGCAGAGACCTTCATGTACATGCACACATACTCGCATATGCGCGAGTGTGTGTAAAAAATGACATTAACATTGAGCCGACAGCCGAAAACATTGGCATGTGCGGTCTCTGTTAAGCATATACCAGGAAAGAGGGAAGAAGGACAGAAGGGAAAGCAGCCTGCAAACGTGTAGTAGGTAAATCACTAGGATCTAGTAACAATAACAACAAGCAGCAGCAGCGATCACAAGAGTGACAGAGAGAGAGAGAGAGAGAGGGTGAGAGTACGCAATTGGTTTCCTTCTCTACCCTAAAGAGCTCGGGCACGGCCAGGCAGGAACTTTGCCGCGGCGGCTGCGCTTTTGGACGTTGTTGTTGCTAGCTCGGTACAGTGCCGGGTTGTTGAGTGCGCTGCGGGGCGAGGGGCGCAAAATATTTAGCGCACATTTCTTTTTATGCGCGAGCCGCTGCCATTCACAATACATAAATATGTTTCACACCGAAATAAATTTAAAAGTAGCTTAAAATTCCCTGACGCGTTTTAACTTTTTCTTTTAGCTACAACAAGAAAGTACTAGCAAGATATTTATTTGCTGGCAGTGACATTTTTTATGTGTGCTTAGCGCCTGCGACATTGAAAAATTAAAAAAAGAGAAAATAGATCTATGTATATTTATACAAAAAATAAAAAAAGAAGACAAACAGCGGATGCGAGGCAAAACAGCTGCTGTTTCCCCACCCTTCGCGTTTTCGACTCACCTGTTTTTGATTGCTCCTCGATGGTCTCCATTTCGTTTGAATTGCATTAAATTTTGGACAGACACACACACTCACACTAATGCACGCACAAAACAGACCTCTACAGCTTTCGTGTTTAGTTTTCTTTGTTTTTTCAATGACGGTTTGTTTGCTATGTTTTACTCATTGCTTGAATAATGCCCAATGCCATAGCATCTTTGTTTTTGCACAATTAAATTGAACAACGCTTTGGTCAATTAAAAAGCGGCGCGCAAAAGAACACAGACAAGCGCCCACAGTCACAATTTACACACACACTTACGTAGATTCACAAGCGCTCGCACGCATTATACGAATTCCATCGAATGCAGCAGGCGGCGTCGCTTTTATTTAACACTTTTTGCAATCCTGTTTATGATTTACTTTGAATACACGCGTTTAATTGCAGGAATGTGTACTATAATTGGTATACAAATAATTACACAGCGCCTTGTACGTGTTTAGTTTGCTTTCTTTGCAGCGCGTCGGAATTAAAAATCAAAATCAACGGTCAAACACGTCCGGTCGCACGGCTGTTCGTCTCGCTTTATTTTACATAAATGTTAATGCTGCGTATTCTTCTACTCGATAAGGCACTGTTACGGCACTAAACTAACATAATATGTTAATGTTACTCATGTTCTACTCAAACAGGCACTGTAAAAGCAGCAATGTTCAGGAAAATCGATATCTTTTTAATTTTTCAATACTTTTATTCGATTACTGCATCAGTGCTGCCACACGAAAAAAAAAATACAAAAATAACAGCGGACAACACTTGTTGCTGTGACGTCACACACACAAGCGCAGTTACGTCAATGTAGCAATATGCCCAGCAATCTGTCAAACAACCCACCACCAGCGCAGCTACAACAACAACAGCTCACTGACATTTCGTCAATAGGTCCATACATAATTTTGTCATTTTTTCACTTGTTCGCTAAGAAAACGAGAATTTTCGATTTTTACCGCCCAATTAGTGGGCATTTTTGAAAGTGGTTTCGAAAAATGCTCCACCAACCGCCGCCGCCGACGCACAGCATCAAAATAATGTCGGGGGCCGAGGAAAATCGCCACTACTTGCGTGCCTTTATACAAACATATCGCGATATGCCCGTCCTCTGGGACACTTCTCTCCGGGACTACACGAATCGAGAGAAACGCGCCGAGGCCTATCAGCGCCTGGTGCCCATCTATCATTACCTGAAGCGAGACGCCACCGTCGAGGACGTCAAGAAGAAGATCAACACGCTGCGCACCAACTACCGCAAGGAGCTGAAGGTTGTGGAGAGCGCTATGCGCACGGGCAGCCTCCATACGCCACGTTGCTGGACATTTCAAGAGCTCGACTTTTTACGCAATACGGAAAAATTTCTAGCCGTTAATCCGACTTTCAAGAACGAGCCGTCTTTCTCATTTAACGAGAACTCCAGCTCGACGGCGGCCTTCATGGAACAGCATGCCAACAGCAGCAGCGGCAGTGCGTCCGTGTTACATTATCCATATCGCAGCGGGGCTGGACAGACACCGAACATCACAGAAATGTTTCACAAATCGTTTGGGCATGTGCAAAAGGTGGATCCACTGCCACCACCGCCGCCGCCGCCGCCATCATCGGGCCTGATGCACCAGCCGCCCCATTCGCAGGGCGACTACACGACCCCAAAGAGGGCGCGGCAGACGCCGCCCTGCAGCAGCAACGCGAACAACGCCTCGACTACGACGACAGTGAGCACACATAACACGGACGAGCTGCTCAACATTGCCTGCGAATATCTGGCTGGAACTTATCCCGAGGAGGAGTCAATTGCGCGCACCTGGACGCATAAGCTGAAACGTTTGCCGCGCGAGCAGCGTCTGCTCGCCGAGCGCTTCATCAATGAGATACTCTTTGAGGCGGAGTCCAACAACCTGCATCGCGGTTCCGTCCAGATCAACAACAGCTTTGAGCCCTATGTGCGCTTCGAGGAGCCGGCAGCCTGTCACGAGGAGCAGGATAAGTCGCAGAGCCCCAGTGTGCACACCTCCTCCGAGTCGACACCAAAGCCCAGTGCCGGCGCAGCCACACCGCTCAACGAGCCGACGAATCCGGGCATTAGAGAGTTCTAAGATTAGGAATATGAGATAGCATTAAGTGTTACTCAGTTTTTTATTGGCAGATGACGCAGACAACACATGGCACAGACAAAAAGCTAGACAAATAATCTTTGTAAATAGTTACATGAACCTGATTTGGTTTTTTGGGATGCGGCACAGCTCAATCCACGCGCTGATAATCCACAATATTGCGTGTTAGCCATACATAGGGCGAGGCGCCGGCCAGAAATAGGCAGGCGCCAATCACAGGACGATGCAGGATCCAGGCCACGGCAGCGATGGTCAGCGCCAGCGAGAAGGCGATTAGGAAATTTCCAGTCACCGGGTAATGCGAATCCGGCGCCAAAGCAATCAGCAGCGGCACGCGAAGCACTGCAAGCACAGGATAACATTATTATACATAGTTGCCCTATATGTATTCTAGTAGTATATAGCTTGTATAAAAGTTCGATAAGAGATTTGTTCCGTTTTTGGAATCTTTGAAACTCTTCCAGGCCAGGTACTTACATATGACCCGCAGCAGCTTTGTATTACAGTTGACGCCAAAGAAGATCAGCAGCCAGCCGATGAAGCGCCACCACCAAGTGTGCAGCACCTGGGCGCGATACTCCAGGCGGAACACCTCCAGGGCACTGATCTCGCCCGGATAAACGAGCAGTACGGGCACACCGCGTGTTGTGATATATGGCTCCAGCTTGTTGCCTTGAAGCCTGCCCACCACGCTATACATTTCACCCTCCATGCCCGCGTAGGTGAAGAGTATGCGCAGATCGCCAACTTCGGGATTGAACACATCGTCGGTGTGATAGTACAGGCCCAGATGCAGCTTGATGCCGCTATCGTCCGGCCTGATATCCGAGGTTAACTCATGGTAGTTATTGAACTTGTTCTTCACCTGGGCGCCAAGCTCGTATTTGCCAATGTAGACGGCATCGGCCACCTGAACAGCGCTCTCGATGGGAAAACGCTGCGGATTCGTGTGTCCATGACGATTGTAAAAGTTGCGCGAGTCGACGATTTTGTCGCGCCACTCGCGCGTATAGTAATAGGTACGTGAATCGGCCTCGGTGCCCACGCTCTCGCCAAAGTGATGCTCGACCGACTCCTCCACCCATTGGTACATTTGGACGCGCCGCCTGAGCTTGACCGCCATCAGCTGTATGTTATAGTCCGGTTCGGTGAGCGGTTCGCCACATATGATGGGCCCTGATAGATGCACAATGCGATTCTCAAAGCTCAGGTCCTGCTCCTCCTCGGTGAACTGCATGGAGTAGATGTCGGCGTATGCCTCATCCAGGGCCAGCATTGTGTGCACCGCGCGTCCCTCGTTCCAATAGAGTACACTGGAGCCGGCTATGAACAGGCCCAGGCCAAAGGTCGCGATTAGCCAGTGGGCACGAAATGTTTCGCTTAATGTGGCCATGTGCAATGTTTACCGTTCGGTTAGCATTTAAAAATATAAATAAACAGCAATAAATGCTGTGCCGACAATTCCCCCTCAATACAAATTGTGCAAATCAGAGGCCGCCAATTTGCCAGGGCAACGCCGTCAAAGCAACAGCTGTCAATGTCAGCTGTTCGAAATTCGAAATTCAAGCATTCGAACATCCAGCCAAATATTACAAATTGAAATAATAATGTGCAGCAATAGTTTAACTGATTATCAATTCACAAAAGCATTTAAACATGGAAAATTCTGTTCGGTCTATAAGGCAAATTGTGCTGTCAACGATCGTGTTGTAGTTATTAAAAAGTTTTCGCTGGAACAGGACGATGATGCAGAATTAAAACGACTCTTCGCCGAGATACAATGTTGTCGTCAATTCCAGCATCCAAATATCAATAAAATACTCCATAGTTTTATTGTGGACAGCGATGTATATGTCCTGTATCCGTATATGTGCTTTGGAACGTGCCAAATTTTACTTGAAAGCATTTTTACGAACGGACTTCCAGAGCCTCTGATAGCATTGATCTTTAAGGATGTCCTCTCCGCCCTCATGTACATACACACGAATGACTTTGTCCACGGATCCGTGAGAGCCCATCATATATTATTAGATAGCCAGAAAGCAGTATTATCGAATTTCCACGAGAGCCGCAGCTTTATAAAACACGGCAAAAAGAAACCGGTCCTACATGGCATCTCCCACGAGAAGAATTTAAATTGGGCAGCCCCGGAAGTCCTAGATCAAAACGTCCATGGTTTTACCGAAAAGTGTGATATATACTCCGTGGGCATAACGGCCTGTGAAATGGCCAACGGTATTCAGCCATATTCGGAAACTCAGCCCACGCTCATGTACACGGAGAAGATTCGCGGAAATGTGCCATCCCTCCTAGACAGATCAACGTATACCATGCTGCTGGATGACCAGGGTAAAATGCCATTTGAAAATGCAGCAACAAGAAGAACATATGAGATTTTCAGTCAACGTGTGCTCACCGACGATTTCCATCAGTTCGTGGAAATTTGCCTGAATCGAAATGCGGAAAATCGTTGGAGCGCCAAAAAGCTAATGACCCATGCATTTTTCAAGCAATGCCGACACGTATCCATCTCAGATCACATCAAGAAATGCCGCAGCGAAACGCAAAACAATTCCATAAAAGACGACGAAAGCATTGGACCACTGGATGATCATGCACAGGAATGCCGCGAAGATGTTCAATGGAATTTTTAAGAAACTTAATTCTGGCTTACGATAATTAAAATAAAACAAAACCAAGATTTTAGACAAAAGACAAGTTGATAAACTTGATTTTAACTTTAGTTTTTTTACACGCCTTTCTGGTTTTGATTGATGACCTTTAGATTGGTTAAATGTATATAATTTTAGACTTTTGGAGTATCGCTTGTTAAATTGTAAATTGTCAGCTATGCGATTCAATTGAAATCCATAATTTATTTCACATAATTTACTATAATATAAATGTGGCTTTATTTACAGTACATATTCTTGTGTTTGTTATAATTATCCATTAATTAGTTGCTCAATTCAAGCCAAAGCTAATGCGTAAGTTCGCCTTGTTATTCGCCATATTTTGCGTTTAAATCTTGTAAAATTGTATTTCCCGTAAATATCTATTTGGAATGTGCTTAATAAACAAAATTATATATCACTTGTCGCCTCTAAAAACAAATCGAAATGAGGTGGAAAGCAAGTTAAATGTTGGTCTTGTTTTTTTTTTTTTATTACGTATTATTAAACAAAATTAATAACAATTAGGCGTAATCTGTTCAACTAAAATTAAAATTATTTAACAAATAACTAATCAGAAATTGCTTGGTTTTGTGTGTTGTTTCGATTTTTAACTTAAAATAAAAATAAAATTCAACTAAATATTTGGACAAAAATCACGCACAAATTGCTTTAAAGTTAAAACGCTGCGCTCTTTAGTACGCTTAAGGTTTTTTTTCTTTTGTAAATATATCAATATAAAACATAACTGTCTATAGAGCGCATAAAATGTACAAATTTAAATATACATAGATCATAGTAAGATTTAGCGGGCTATCACTGATAAATAACATTAGGGTTTTGTTTTTTAATTTCTATATATATGTATATATATATATTATGTGAAGCATATTATTTTTGTATTGTTTAACCAAAATCTGTTAGTACCCGGTTTTATACCTCGCTCTAATTTTCCTTTTTGGCAATGCTAGGGCGCATTGTACTGTAAATAAGTTGGGGGTTTAAAAACTAAATTAAGGTAGTTGTTTTTCTAGCCTGCAAAACTTGTAACTGCTTAGGTCGGATTTCCATATATGTATATGCGTATATACCATATATGCATAACTTTGTTTTTTTTTTATAAATATATATATATAGATTACTTAAAAATTAAAATAGTTTTAACGTTGACTAACATGCCACACAATCAAATAACTCTTATCGCCTCGATTTTCAATTGTTTGATTTGGTTCCAGTTGAATACTGTTCTCCATATCATTGTCATCTGTAAAAAGTTTGTGGAAATTTAATAAGTAATTAATTAGACAGGCAAAAGTGGGATCAAAATGTACACATAGTTAGTGCTGCAGCGACAAAACTACAAAGGATCGCAAATTGCTGTTCTTGATGATTATATTATACAAAAGCATTTAAGATTATTATTATATTATGTTTGCAGCGCCTCAAACATTTTTTGTTTAATTATTTATATTTTGCTGCACAACTTGATTGAGTTTTAATATCTTCTGCGTGGTTAAGAGTTGAATAGAATTTAGTTTTGATTAGTAAGGGGTTTCTTTTTAATTAGTGAGAGTGCGCGTTTTGTTTGGTAGTTTGTAGAATAGCCATCAGTTTATACAGTTTAAAAATATTAAGCAAAACTAAATAAAATACAATTAGCTACATAATAAATTAAAAATTAACTGATAAGGCATTTAAGCAGCAGCTTCAACCAAAAAACTAAAAAGTTCAAAACCCAATTTCAAAAGAAAGTTAAATTATTTGTTTAAACTTATATATACAACAACGTAGATATTTTTTATACAATTGCTACCCTTATAAAATACTCGAGAAAGACAAAACACAAGAACACCAATGAGATCAGTTTTGAACAAATTACAATATCCACTTGTGACCTGGGTGGATTATATTGGAACTGTGTGACAAAGTGCAGAAACAAGTGGACGGGGGAAACGTGATAATCAACAGAAAGAAGTAAAAAAAAAAAACATTTAACATAAATTTGCATAAACCTTGGGGGGGTCTTTCGATCAGGTCACACCACACAGGCTCAGATAAATGCTGCATTCCAAATTTGAGCTTGGGCCTACGGGCGGGCGGCGCGACTACAAATTGAAGGTACTGAACGGCCGGCAAAGTTAAACAAAAAGAAAATGCGATTAAATCAACGAAATAGAATACGCAACAATACAACAAAAAACTAAGCAAATAGAAGTCAAAATTTAAAAATATATAAAAAACAGCGCAAATCAAAATATATAAATAAATGTAAACCGAAGATCAAAATCAAAAGCAAGGCTTACGTATCGACTTTCCAAACTATCAAATGCGCTGCATTATCACTAGCATCGTATTTTTCATGTCCTGCAGAGGAATATGGAACGATTATACTATATATTGCATATATATATCGACAGATAGATTGAGAGAGAGCGCTGCTCGCTGATTTTTGTGCTGCCAATTGGTTAACTAAAGCTTGGACGGCCGCTGGCTCCACTTACTTATGCGAAAATCAATATAACCCTCGCCGCCGCACATGACCAACATGTCGGGTCGCTTGTTGCTGAAGGTGAGCGTGCCATTCGGTTGCTGAAGCATGGGCACTGATACAAAGAACTTGACCGCATCGCGATGGCCATGGAAGGACAGTTGAGCATTGGCCATGCAGCACAATGGCATGTGGCCATGTGGATCAGCTGGATAAGCCAAGAGAAACGAGTATTAATCAATGTGTAAAGCTAGTTGATTTGCAATCGCTGCTCACATGACTTTTGCTGCATCTCGGCCAGCGGCACGGAAATGATAACACCATTGCTGGTGCCAATCCAGAGGCGATTGCAGGAGACCATCAGCGCTGTGATGCGTACAAAACTAAAGCCCAGCTTGCCGGTGCCCAGCATCTTGGATACATACGGCTCAATGTCCACATCCTGCTTGTGCTCAAATGTATGCGTATTGTACAGACGCAGCGTGGAATCCAAGCTATGGAAGTAGAGTTGTGTTAATTGGACTTGACTGGAGTTGAGTTAGTTGTGTTTACCGTATGGATACCCAAACGCCGGCACCTGTCGCTGCCATTTGGCGCACTTGGCTCTCCTTGCGCGGATGCGCGTCCAGCGAGTGTACAATGTTTAGCGATATTGGATCAACAATAAAGATCTTGTTGCGATGCGCGGCCCAAATGCGCTCGCCGGCCACACAGAGGCAACGTATCGAATGATTGCGATCACCGACCGTAACCAGGTGATAACTATTCAGATCCCATTGGCCGTCTGTTTGGCGGCGAAACACGGCTAACTGAGCATTGGCCAGCGCAACAACAACACGCGCCTCCACATGGACAATCGCCAACACCGCATCCGGCAGGAGCACCTTGTGCAGACACTCATGCCAGCGCCCCACACTGCTGTGCACATACAGCCAACCGTCCTGGGCACCTAGCCACATTGTGGGTCCCACTGAGCTCATGACCGGCTCTTCGCGCTCCTTGGTGCCCAGTATGGGATTCAGCGATTTGATGCTAAACGAAACATTTTTGCTATTGTTGTTGTTGACGTGATTGTTGCTGTTGTTGTCCGAGCTGCTGGGCAGTCGCTGCGGTGCACCCGGCAGCGCCTGACGTATCTTAATGGCTTCTACATTGGCCAGCGGTTCGGTTGCATCCACGGCGGGCAGTTGCTCATTGGATTTCTCAGTAGCCTCTTTGGCCACTGCCACGCCTATTACTGTTATTGGCGCCGGCACCTCCTCCTCCTGGGAGTTTTGCTTGCTATTGCTGTTCTGATCCGACTTGGGTTTAACGCGCACAAACTCCACCTTGCCGAGCAGCTCAGTACCCTCGCCTGGGCGTTGCAGCATCTCGCCCGCCTTGACCACCTCCGATTGCTCCAACAGGGCATAGTCACTCTCCATGGCGCCCTGCACGGAGGCAATGCACAGCAGATGCGATGCGCATATCGGAAAAGCATCCAGCACCGTGGCCGACTGATTTGCATCCACCACACTCACCGTACTAGCGGCATGTGTGCTGGTGCAGATCCAAACAAACGAACTGAGCTGTGTCTCGGGCTCAAGAGTCCCTAGGCTGGCACGTGCCATTTGACGATCCAGCGCCTCGGCGCTATGTTCCGCCGTCGGGCTAGTTATCTCTGCAATTTTGAGCGTTGAGCGCGGCGCATAGGGTGAATCGGGAGGTATCACCGATTGTCCATCCTTTGTGAAGCCGCCCTGCAGATTGACACCTGCCGCACAAAATACTTTCATGTGCGGCGATGCCTCCGCCAGGGGATTACAATAGACGGGCACGGGCACGCCACCTGAGTGGCGACTCGGATTGGCATCCTGATTCGTCTTGTTTATGGGCAAGCTCCAACCGTAGGCATGCAGTCGTCCATCCTCCTTTTGCACATGGGCCCGCAGCTGGCGATATTGTTCACGCCGCCTGGCGTTGATGCGCTCTGAGCTGCCCTCTTCCGAATAATCCTTGGCCATGATTAGTGCATTCGCAAGCCCGGCGCTGGCCGGATGCGGCGGTGGCTGGGAACCGGCTATGGCAAGGCGATTGTCGCTTCCTCCACGGCTAGGTGATCCGTGACTGTGGGCAGGGCTTCCTCCGCCTGTGTGACGAAACATCGGCCCCCCTCCAAGTCCGTCAGCGCCGCGCTCCGACGAACGATTGGAGTGGCTGTTCGGTGAGTAGAAAACATTCAATAGGATTCCCTTAGCAGTGCAGAGTAAAGTGGAATACTCACGTAAAAAGATTACTAAAGTATTGCCAAATGCCTTGCTTCGACTTCTTGTCCAAGTTGTCGACAGTGCGCGAGGCGCGCAGTATTTCAGTTAGGCGCACCGCCTCCTGCAGTTCCATTAGCCGCTCCTTGTACTGATTGCGCTCCATTAGCACCATGGCCATTTCCACGCGGGTAAAGCGTTTGCGTTGCGCCAGCGGCACATCATTCTCCTCCTGCTCGGTGCCTGCCACAGCGAATGAAGACATGAATTGGTTGTGTTTATCGTGGGGTAGCAACCTGTAGCCACTTACTTTGCTGTTTCACCTGCTCCTTGGTCTTCTTGAGCTCATCCTCCAGTTCGCCGATGCGCTGCCTGAGCTTGGTACGCGACTGTTGCATGGCATTCAGCTCTTCGCGCACAATTTCTACCTCACCCGTCAGCTCATCCACTTTGACAATTAAATCGTCCTTGACAATGTTAAGTGCATTTCTGTGTCGATTGATTGATTGACATAAGTGGGTCGATTCTCATTGTTGACCACCTAAATTAGTCACACTTACTTGGTCGCTAGCAGCTCATTATTCTCCATTATAAGATTTTCCACCTCTTTGCCCATGCCTGGAAAATTATTTATAATGCTATTAGTAAGGCAAAATCTTTATATAGATATGAAAAACATTATTAAATGACTTTTGGGGTGTGGAACGCAAGTGATAGTTATGTGGAACTTAAGAAAATGAAACAAATTATGAAAACGGAACAAAATATGAATCGAATTGTTGAATGGAAGTGAATCATACGTGGAATATAAGTGAATTTTGTATATCAAATCAAAAGTCATGCATGATATTAGTGAAAAAACGATAAACGTAGACTAGGATAAGCAGAATTGATGTAATTCGAAATCAAAGTCAAAACCCGAACCAGAACTAATCTTAAAAAAATAAATAAAACAAATGGTAACTCAAAACCAAAACTGTGATTAATCCAAAAAATGGCTAGATCACCCGCTAACACCAACAGTGAATTTTAACCGAAGTTTAAAGTCGCAGAGAGAGAAAGACTAGAGACACTACTTACATAGAAAGAGACTAGAATAGTATGGAAACTATAGGTATGAATAAATCGTATCGCACTAGAAAACTTACCAAAATAGTTGTCGTTAGCTTTGATATTTTATTTGTTGTAGGTGTCGGTGTTTTGTGTTTGGTTTTTGTACAAAAAGATTTTTTTTTTTTTTTTTGGGTAGTTGTAGGGAAAAAGGATTTTGGAATAAGTAAAATGGTTTTGGTATAAAAAGAGAAATTTAAAATTTCATTAGACGTCAATAAATATGATATTTTATTAAGCTTTGCAATGCTGACAACAGTATCTCGAGCACATCAATTCCAACACATATCACAAAACAAAGTTTCGTTAGAGTATCCGCTGTTTTTTATATGTTCTTTCTTTTTTTTTTGTTCAGTCGATTATCGTATGATATTTGATGTATTTACAGGTTATATAGATGATTCCATATATGTAGGAATTATATGGTGTTGGTGGTTGAGTTTGTTGTGGTTGTTGTTCTTGGAGTTGGTCTTGTGTGTGGTACCTACCTGAGGATGCGTACTCTCCGGGATGTACCCAGCTGCCTATTGCGGGAAGAGAGACAGAGAGAGAGAGAAAGAGAGTGAGACAAGTGGACAAGTAACCATGGAGTCCCAGCAGATTTGAGTGTGCGTGTGTGTTTGTGCATAGCAAACATTCAAAGAGAGAGGCAAAAGAGAAATAAAAACATTGCATTGAGAAGACTTTGAAGCAAACGTGCTCGAAATCTAATTGGCGCCCGAGCAGGGATCTATCGCTTACCTGTTACAATCTCATTCTCTTCGCTCTCTTCGTTATCCTGGAAGGACAATTCTTGGTATAGATTATTGTCCGAGCGCTGTTCCTTTTTGGTGGTCGAACGACCAACTGGGATTGGTTTGGGTTTATTTTATGTATTGGCGGGTTCGTTTTGTTTTGTTTGATATTTTAGTGAAGTTAACACAAACACAAAAGAAAGTAGAAAATTTGTTGGAAAATTAGTAGAGTTGCAGGTTAACTATAGGTTCAGCCAGATGGTAGACGCCTCCACCTACCATTTGCGGGCACATTTGGCACAACGGGACTGATATCGGGACTCTGCGGCGAGGTGGCCTGATGTTGTTGCTGCAGCGCATCTGTTGCGGCGCCACGTTCTACGGTGCCAGCCAAGTTATCTAGTTCGTTCTGCAGGGAAGGCGGTCCCGAATCATCCGACTGGCTGCCTACGCTGCAAATCGTCTCGGTGTCCAGCATAACAGAATTCTCCAACGAGGCAAAGCCATAGGAGACGGGTCCGGAGCTGCGTGCCACTGGATTGAGTCGCGCCCGACTAACCTCCATGCGATCGGAGGCATTGCTCATTTGTGAGTGCGTCGAGCCCATCAGCATTTTGGTGCGTTCCATGTAGTCCACATGGTTCTTGAACAGTTCTGTGTAGCGTTCGTGCAGCCTGGCGTATTCCTATATGTGTTTGTGTGTGTGTTCAAGATGAAAGTTACCAAAGGTCAACAACTGGTTTATGGCTGACTGGTTCACCTTTTTGAGGTCCGCCTCGCGCTCCTCCAGGCGACTGGCGTGCTCCACGCTGTTCTTGTGCTTCAGCTCCAGCATGCGCACTATGCTCTCTAGGGACTCCAGACGGCTTGCCAGCTCTTTGTTCTCCTGTTCAGCCAAGTCCTCCGCCTCCAGCAGCTGCGTCGAGTGAAACGTTTTTATGAATTGATTTCAAATTCCAACTTTCAGCTTTGTCTCACCTTTTGCTCGGACTGCTTGCGTGCGCTCTTCTCGCGCTCATACTGGGTAACCAGCTGTTCATTGTCCTCGCGCAGCAACTCCAACTCCACATCCTGTTCTTGATTGATGCGATAGGAGGCATCCAGGCACTCCAGCACGTTTACAAGCAGCGGCATTAGGTTCTTAACCACATCCTCGTCGTAGCGATTGATCATTCGCTCGAATTCCTGATAAATGCTGCCAGCCAGCTGCTGCACCTGTAGAGTGAAGGAGTAAGTGCATCAGTTTCAAATGCAAAGCCACAAAAACAGCAAAGAAAAGACAAAGTTAGTGCGAGATAGAGATAGATAGAGAGAGCGAGAGAAAGGAGAGAAGTTAGAGAAAGATGGGCACACTTTTAATGGCTCAATTAAAACCTATTATAATTGCGGTTTGCGGTTGCTTTGTTTTATGAATGAAAAACTCCCAAATGAAAGCCCAATGGAAAGGCAAGTTAAGCGTTGCCAGACCCCGCGATGACCCCACAGATGGTTAAGTAAGAGTAGGCAATGGGAAAGCTGGAAAGGTCAAAGTTTAAAGCTTCCCATGCCATTCGGTTAGTTAAAAAAACAAATAAAACTCAAGATAGTTGCAAAGCGTAACAGAAAAATAAAACGAAATAAACAATTTGAAATATCGTGCGTTTAGTTAACATATAAAGTGAGACAACAATTAAAATAGCACCAAACAATTTTGAACTCACGATGCTGACAACCTGTTCATTCTGAAAGAGAAAGAAAAAGAAGAGAAAAGGGCACATATAAAAAACTCAAGTTTAATCAAATTAAAGTCAACACATAAGAATAATAAACAATTGAAACCCACAAAGTGCACACCCCTATGAGAAATGCGAGTGCGTATTAAATATGAGCATGAAATGATATTTAATATTTAAGTTTGCATTACATGTAGATTACGTGAAAGTAAATAAATAAAAATTAATTTCGGGCTACCGAATAAAAAAATACCCTGGCAGATATATAGAGAGGTACCAGAAACAGTTCTTGAAATATTTTTTCCACATTTAATGACAAAGTTGTAGTACCTCCTACAAGTGTATAACCAAATCAATTAGAATTGTGCTCAAACTGTGGTTTAGGCGTTTCATCATGATTGGTTTTCCGCATTTAAGACCGCCAATAAAATAATGTTTTGTCCAAGGTTGGGCTCGATGTGCTTATAAGGCCAGCTGGTTTATGCATAAAAGCTATTTCTGCTCTCTAGTTGTTTGAAGTTTGACCAGTTTTATTACTGAGCAGCAGCAGCAACAACAAAGTTGGATAGCATATGCGTCACAGCTGTGACGGAGCCGCTTGAATGGGTTAAATTGAGTTGATTTTCGACGCAGGTAACAGGTAATTCAAGCGGCAAGTGAAGCATGTGGCTGTCTAAGGGGGTTTGTAGGGGACAGCTCGATGATGAGCTCATGCCCAGCGCATTTGCATTGAGGGCAATCCGATTAAATCCCTTGTGAAGCTGATTAAGTGCAAAAATCAATGACGGGTCTTTGATTGCCAGACAAAATAGAACAAGTGGGCATGCTCTAGAAGAGTGTCCGACTAGGGGATACCCTGAACCTAACTCACTTTATATACCACATTCAAAGTGTCTAGCTCTTGTTATCTGCGAGATATGCTGAAAAAACCTTAACTAAAAACCGATAAGCATTGATTTTAGAGCAACGGGGAGTTAAATAATATTTTCCCTAGTTATTGTCGCAGAAAAACGGCCGGACAGACGGTCATGATTACGGCTATGATTAGATGGGGCTGTAGATTTTGTTTTAAAAAATAAAAAATATATAATAATATTTTGGGTCCCGCTGATCCATACATAAACATTATACCCTTTTCTTTTTAGCAATAAGTACTGAGTATATAATCAAGGGGTTGGGGATTGGAACGAAAGAGGCGAATGTACATAAAAATAAACTGCTAAGCGAATTGCGTGAGGCAACATTAAAGTAGGCAAACGGACGTTTTATTGATTTCTTTTCGCTGCTGCATCTACCTCTCTCTTTCCCTCTCACTCTTTAAACTCCTTTTTCGGCCAGCCTTTTGGCACTTGTGAATGTCAATGACTCGCGCTGGGGTCAGCTGATGCATAATAAACAAGCCAAAGAGAGAGAGAGATAGAGAGAAAGAGAGCGGAAGCGAGAGATAATGGCAAAGTTAAATAGTTAGCAGACATATGTATCTGAGATAGTGGCTTCCTGTGGGGCATTATCTTGTGTCTGGGTACAATTATGAGCAGCGCATTTTACTTGTTAAAAGATATGAAAAGTCTTATCACATAAGCATTGCCCGCATGAATCAGTTAATAAGAGGCATGTATACCTTCTCGGACATGACCATATTGTTGTCCTCGGTGCCGTAGACCGTTTCAGCGCCCGACTGTGGTCCACAATTGTTGAGCATTGTGTCATCGTTGTCCATCATGTTTGTTGTTGTTGTTGTCTTTGCTCTGTGTCTGTTGTGCCTCTTCCTTAATTACGCATTCGAGTGTGGGTGGCTGTGTGTATGTGTGTGTGTGGGGTTGGGTACACACTGTCACACGTCACGCGTTATGCAGCTTTCAACCCCAAACAACAACAAAACACTGTCCAGCTACTGTGTGTGCTGCACCCACACATGCACACACACTTACATACACATATACCGTCAATACAGGTGCAGTCGTTTGGCTATTTCTTTTCGTATTATTAATGAGTTTTGCTTTTGGTGTATATTATATAGCTCGATTATTTTTAATATAATTGCATTTTCTGGTTGTTCTGCGTGTCACTTATTTGCGTTTTTCGCTGTAGCTATGTTTGGCCATCATCCTCTTGCCCCCTCCATTTGCGACGTATATTTGACTACTTTTCATTTTTTCGCGTACTTTTTTCGCACATTACCACTACTCATTGCATTTGTATTTTATAGCCAGGGTATAACCACATAGCTAGAGTATAATTTAAAGCACTATTAACAATAAAACACGTTATTTTCAGCGCATTTTTACAATAAAAAATGAGGGAACAGCAGGCGAGCGACCGATTTTCGTGATTAATGAGAAATGACTGCAGTGTTGGTAATAGTCTAAAGTGCGTCAAAGTAACCATGTATCGCAGTCTGTAGACTATCGTACGTATTTAACTATCGATATATCGATTATCTTGACACGCTGTCATTTGACGTTTGTGTTGTTGGTGGATTTCGCTGTCGCAGCTGTTTTGTTTCATTTTTGCATTTAACAAATAAAATCCAACATGGTTTTTGTTAAAAACTGGGAAGACTTCGAAATCGCTGCCGAAAACATGTACATGGCGAATCCGCAAAACTGCCGATACACCATGAAATACGTGCACACCAAGGGACACATACTCCTCAAAATGACGGACAACGTGAAGGTATTAAATTTTGCTGAACAATAAATGAACTGTGCTAATGTACGTACGAATTTGCTTACAGTGTGTGCAGTATAAGGCGGAAAACATGCCCGATCTAAAGAAAATTGAGAAAATCACAAGCAATCTGGTTGGTCATATGGCATCAAAGGAATAGATGAACAGCAAATTGGCCACGGCAGCAGTTTGGATCGAACGAAACAACAACAATGTAAACGGTTTGTTGTTGTTGCTAACTGGACTGATCGCCGTGTGTTTCACCTACACTTGTTTAGTTTTTAAGCGTACTGGGCTCAAAGGCGGCTAAGCATGTGGTAACAAGAGTAGTTACTGTTTAAATAACATTTTATAAATGTTAGCTCTGTGCACAGCAGCCAGCCAAAAAGGCGCCAGTGCAGTTTTAAAATTTATCGTACTTTTCTATTTATTGTAATGTAAATGGCTGCAGTTAGCTGCATTATAGTGACATATTGAAATTAGTCCACATTTCCATGAAATGCTTTAAACGAATTAAATGGTGTTTTATAAGAAAATTATGTTTGTTTATTTTTTAGTATCGATTATCGGCTTGGGTAGCGCAATATATCGCCAAACACAATATGAACTATAGAGGGCGCAGCAAAACCGTTGACAATTCAAAAATATCAATGCACGAAATTAAACGCAATTCTTGTTTTATTTTTGTGTAACATTTTACACTTGTAAGCTAGGTAGTTTTGTAATTTTGTCGCTGCCACTTTGGTACAAAATGTTAATTGTTTAGCCATTAAAGCGATTAAACAGCCAAAGCAAACAATTTGCAATGCACAGGTGTATGTATGAGTCAGTAAAGGTGAGTGCGTGAGCGATGCGAAAGAACGTTGATGTGATGCTGCGGCTGCTGTTGCTGCTGTCCCTCAGTCGCTGACCGCAGTTACTCACTTAATAAGCGAAGAGTAAATATTTGAATATTTGCATATGAGGCACTCGAGTTTATTTGCCACAGGAGATTGACAGCAATGCCTCAAATCATAAGATCAGAGACAGAAAGAGAGAGCGAGCGAGCGAGTGAGAGAAAGAACGAGAGAGGGAGAGAGAGAGAGATCAGTAGCCCTGTCGGAACAGCAAAGTGTTGTTGACCAAATGCCACAACAAGAAGTGTTTGCCCATGCAGAATGAGTGTGCGGCTGCAACTAGGCAACTCAGTAGCCACTTTGGATTAAGGCACCTAAAAACGTTTGTTTGACCCAAAGAACGAGAAACGTTTTGAACGGATCGTTCGGCCGCTTTTGATCACCGTCACAGGCCCTACACTTGCAACTCAAGCAGCCTGGCACTTGGCTTTGATTAGAGCCCGTCGAAGCCGACGACGTACACCTGACTATTTCCGGCCCCCAGAGGTCGACTCTAGTGCCTTGAGACAAGCTCATTTGGCTTCTGTTTGTCGACGCGATCCGACTGCCGACCGTCCAGGGACCATTTGGAGGCATCTTTATCGGATGTTTGTGTTTGCCGTTTTGTGCTTTTGAATATGTTGTTTACCGTGCATCCATTGCAATCACAATCACAATCACTTTACGCGGCTGGCTTGAACACCCCTGATTCAAATGCACCATCGTAAACCACAAAACAGTCCAGGCTCATAAATTGAAAGCACCTAAAACGAAATCTACAAATCAAATAAATAAACAGCCAATCTGAAATATATATGATATAAGCGTGCAGCAGGGCTACCGGTATTTGAAAAAATATCATAAACCCAACATTCAACGATCGTTACAAGTCGATAAAGCAACCAACGACACCAACAACACCACCAACACCACAAGCACCATCGGGTTTAATTAGGCACAGTGGCTGGCCATGGTGGCACATAAAGAGTTACCCACGCTGCGATAAACTTGACAAATAACATAAATGCTTTTTATTGCGGGTGGGTTGGCTGACTTGGGCCTGTGCCCGCTTTTCAGGGGGGGGGGGGGGGGGGAGGGGGAGGGGAGCCGTCTCGTAAGCTTGCTCAAACAACGTGCCATAGACTGGGTGTACTTACTACTAGTATTACGCCGCGATGCATTTTATGACACCCACAGGCGTCAATTATAAAGATATTTAAGTACAGTTAGCTAGCAATTAGACGGGGTCTTCCGACTGCACATGGCAAAACAAATCCCTGAGATTTCAATTTTATATATATAAATTACGGCCATTGATAGTCGGTCATATGACAATTAGTTGTAAATTAAGACCATGTCACAATGCCTTATGCAAGTGCAAAAAAAGAAAATAAAGAAAAAAACTTAATTTAGCACGCATTTCAAAGGCTTAAACAAGATAGTCGGGTGCAACCGACTGCCCAATACTTGCTCACAGTCTCAGGTTGCTAGCCAAATTTATTAAGGGATAGCGAGTATCCTAGTTTTTGAATCGACTTTTGGAAAAGGTTAAGTGGCAAGGCTGCAAGAAGGTTTTGAGTTAAAGCGGTTCCACAAAAGTGAAGGAAACAGAAATTCGAAAATTGTTTAGTTAACATTAACAACTTTTTGAGTTAGATCCAGCTTCAAAGCATAAATAATCTAGGTCCCAAACATTGCCTCTATGTAAACATATTAGGTAGATGCAATATTTTCAGTACAATCGGCAATCGAGAATTAAAGAAATATAACGGATAACGGTATATACATACACGAAAAAAAAAATTTCGAACCAGCTTTAGCAGGTAGCTGGTTCAAACCACTGACAAATTATGTTTTATTTGCGTTTTGATGCTCGAACCGAACCTAAAGTCAGGCAGTTGGTTCGTACCATGAACTGAAGCCTAGATTCATAAGTCTTATTCAAAATATGATTTAGATATATCGAAATTGCTTTTCAAGATTTTCCATGCCTTCAATAGACATATCCATAGATTCTCAACACTTTATCGGACGCGAATATATACGACTATAAAAGTGTTAAAGGTATCAAGCACAAATATACCCTTTTCACTTTGGGAACGAGTGCCAAAATGGACGTCAAGCAGAGAAGCTTTGAGTCGGCCTCCTTTGCAGTTGGGTTGGCCAAGTTTGCATTGCTCAGTTTCCCTTCACTGTCGTCGTCCACTTGGGCTGTGCAAATAAGCCACGTTTAATTATGACCATTAGCCACTGTTGAGCGGCTACCGTTTTGAGTCAATACACTACAAACGGCTCTTGATGGCTTTTCGGCGCTTTTTCGGCGGCTCAAATTGAAATTTCGCTTTGTTGTGCAAATGGCGAGCGCAACGGTGACGACCCAATCGAAGATAATGCTCATTAGCGAGCACCTTATTGACGCAAGCCATTGACCGAATTGTGATATGCCCGATTTCTGTGACTCATGCCGCAGGGGGGTAAAATATGTATTATCTTTTAAAGTGCGGTCATAAGCATGATTTTTGATTAAATATTTTTTAGTGGAAAAAGTTTATATGCGTCTTAAGGAGTGGGGCTATCTACATAAAGAGTACTCTATATAAAAATTATGTCGGCAGAATTTGGTATATATACTGGCTCTTTGTGGCGGACAATAATATATAAGCATCTTATAGGGACTGTCTCATAAAACTATATATCTACAAAAATGCAAAATAAGTTATAAGATATATATACTTTTAGTTACCAAAGTTACGCCTCTTACTTAATATATAAATATACAGTGTTTAGTCTCCCAAACGACACCAAAATGTTGCTCATATACAGCGAAAACTCTCCTAACGGACAGGCCTATCAGGCGGACACCCGACTTAAGCAAATAATTTCTCAAATATCATTAATATATCTTTCAACATTAATATCATTAAGTAATTAAATATATCGAAAAATTCAAATTAGAGCTAGTCTAACTAAAATTTATTGAATAAAGATATAGATAAAATCGCTTAACTTTCTTTATTTAAATGTCAATTACTATACTTCGTCTTCTGAAGAACAGTGCAATAAACTGACTGCTGAGTATAGAGGTTTTTTCTTTATAAGCATATCTAGCTTTTTGCTAAAAATCGAATCGTTACTATGAAATCATTCGGTGACAATTATTATTTAACACCTTATTGTTTAGTACGATCACTTCCTGGCTTTTTTTTCGCATTTAAAATCGTAAAGAAATAAACATGATTAACCGGAAGAGGCTACAGCTCTGGACTTTGCCTGACGTCAGGCACTGCCCTTAGTAATATATGTAGAGCTATCGATATCAATATCATTCATCATCTTGTTATAGCTGGCTAATCAATGTCGGTGAGCAAGGGTGACACAATGTCTATAAGGAAACAAAATATCATTTCATTATAATTGAATCACTTTACAAGCGATACGACTTTTTCAAGAAATTGCACAGCTATCAATGTTTTATAGAAATACTAACGTTAATTGGAAACTGAAATTCAAGCCAGCGGAGTAAACAGATTTGTCATAGTCTCTAGACCCAACCTTATAGATTTGGAAGGGCGGAGTGTTCCGCTTTTGGGCACTCTCCGAGCTATCGGAGCACACAAATCAAAAGAAAAAGAACAGAAAATGTAAGGCAACTTCCAAAGTTGTTGTTGTTGTTGTTGATAAATGCAATTGTTGTTAATAATACATGCTATACGTGGTTATATACGACTTTTGGTTGGGCCGCACTCGTAATATGTTATTTATAACGAGGCATTGGGAGGGTAGGCCGGCCCAACGTTGGCAGT